CGGGGCAGTCCGGTACTCTGCTGGCGCAGGGCCCGGGCGGGGTGCCTTCCCAGGGTTGTCCTTGGCAAGGCACTTCCAGATGACTTAAAGGTGTCGTTTGACAGCGGGCTGCAGAGGTACCTGCTCGTGCTAGTATTGCTGCAGTTTTGTAGAGCTGCCGGGCAGATGAAGTATTTTAAAATTGTGGGCACTTATAGAAAAGTACCAGCTTTTGCCAAGTTTCCCTTGGATAATACTTTTAAACATGAGAATTTCTTGTCCTGCACTCCGTGGCAGCTGCATTCTGGCCTAAGTGAAAGGGTGATGTTTATCGAGTTGGCTTGAGTTTCTAAGGTTCAAAACCCCCAATTCTAAAATTATTATTTTTTTTAATAATGTACAGTCTTAGTAGGGATTTGATTATTCATGTTCTAATGGAAACAATTTTCCAAATGATCCCTGTAGTGTTTATTTGTATGTCATACATGCTTGTGAAACTCGGTCATTATTTCCTTGTTTGCATATTTGATTGGTTCTATTGTGGTAATGACTGATGAGACAGTGTGAAAAGAAAACAGGGCTGTATGAGGGCTCTCATAAAAAGAATGGGTTGATTAAAGATAGATCTGATTCATATGGCTTTAAAAATTCTACTTATGTATAGTATTAATATCATGATTAAGACTGTCCAGTAAATCAGTTGTTACTTTGTGGCCAATTATGATTACATGGTACTGTTATCTGAAAATTGATGTACTGTTGTGGCTGTAGAGCTCTACAAAATAAAGTCTGGAACCTGCATGTTTGGGGTATGTTAATCCTGAGTCACAAGGCAGCATACTAACTTTGGGATTCCCATATGGATTCAGGCCCTGTGCCCCAGAAGGCATTTGGATGATTTTAAATCCTTTAATTTTTCTTACCTGCTGCTGCCTTCTACTTTTTTTGTTAAATATATATGAAAGTGTCTTCTGCAACAATGACAGATTATCTCCTTCTTTTCCTGCTCATAGAGACTTTTATATAGTAACTGAAAACATTTACTCAAGAAATAAAAAATATTTTAGTTGAAATACTTCTCTGATAGAAGAGTTGATTTTAAAAAATAGAATTTTATATATAATCTTTCAGGTAACATTAGTATCTAAAAATGAAAATCATGTTCTTATCAAATTTACTCCTGCATCTTTGTAAGTATGTTGAACTTTGTGATCAGAGCTTTTACACTTCCTTTCTGTCACTATCAGAGACATGGTTGGTATAGTTACTGAAAGTGGCTGAAACTCCTCCGTACTGTTGTGAATTGGCTGAGGTCTGTGCTCAGAGTCCCAGTTTACAAACAGTACTGTTTGTTTGGGTTTTTTTTTTTAGTATGATGCTTGGAGTAAGATATAGGAAACATGGAGTACAGACACATGAAATGCATGAATGATTCATGTTTTATATCTGACAGCAAAGTATCATTTAAGGCCCTATTCTGTAGGAGGTAATCCATATGTTTATGTACATTAAATTGTGAATTATGTTTTTGCCAGTAAAACCAAATTTTATTGAGATTTTTTTCTTTCCATTGAGCAATAAAGTACTGTTTCATTCATTGCATGTGATGATTAAAAGTTAAGGGCAGATTATAAAGATAGTCAGTTGGCCACTCTGCAACCCCTGAAATTGTGGTTACTTTTAAAAACATAAACTTCTTTAAAGATTTGGGAAAACTTGTCATCATAGTTACAAACAGTATTTTCTTACTTAATATTCCAAACTGGAAGATGTCCTATTTAAAATAACAGAGATGTTCAGTACCATAAGCAATACATATGACTGCAAGAAACATCCTAGTGTAAATTCCACATGGGATAAAAGCAGGACTATGCATAAGCAGAATTTTAGCTCCCCGTGCTTACTATTACTTAACACTTTTATATGCACTAGTTAAATCAGTGGTTTTATTTAATATTGAAATATATCAAATAGGTTTTATTTGTCAATTTCTGACATTAGTAGCAAATTTCGTATTGAATAACAAAGCTACTGTCTAATGTCCAAAAGACGGACTTTGTATGGACTGTCATTTTAGTCAGATAAGTTTTATGGAAGTAAAAGCAAAATAAAAACTATTTTTTGGGTAGAAGAGGGAAACATAAAATGTAGTGAAACTTTTCTACCCTGCTGTGCACTCTTTCATGTTAATAACTACACTAACATTGCTTTCACTTAATTTAATGCTGGTTGCCTTTAACACTTACTAAACAGTTTTGAAAATTACTGTAGCTTAGCCTGAGACGTTTGTGATTAGCTGCACCAATTTGAAATGGCCAATTTGGATGATGACAGAACCTCCTCTGCGCATGCTTTTTTAAAATTTGGTAAGTGTGCAGTTCTGTGTTTTGTTTTTGTTTGTGGCTGTTTAACTTAACAAAAAATAATGGTGTGTTTTATGTTTCACGCAGTGTTTTGTGCTAGCAGATTTTTAGCACTGTACAGGAGAACATAAAATTTGGAGCTCTTTCAGGGAAAATTTCTGAAAATTGTAATCTATTTAGATTGAACTCTACTGTTCAGATCTTCCTATTTTGTTTGTGTTTTATTGTTCTTGTAAGTATCTCTCAGCATAACAATCCCTGAACTGAAATTTCTCTTTCAAGATGATGATGATGATGTGAAAGATGCACTAAGAATTGTATTTAGAATTAACTCCTAAAAAACCCCCGTGTGACTGATTTAGATGAAAGAAGTAAAATTTCCAGTAAGTCGGTCTTTGTTCCAAAGCTTGACTTTTGGAAATTAAATGGAAGCAAAAGAAAGCCCCACAGCACAACTTCTCTTTAGGTACAACAGAAGCTAGAATATAAGTTGTCAAGACCGTTACTGATTTAGTTCAATATATTTTGACAAGAGTGTGACTGGAAAAATATGTCCATATGTGAAGCTAGCTGATCTGGGGAAAGACATATAGGACTCTCGTTTAGTCTGTGTTTAAACACAGAAGCCGTACAAGTGCTAGTGAGAGTAAGCAGGTAAGGGGATTTCAGCCGTCTCTTGCCACAGCTGAGTCACTTCAACTACCCTGCCCTGCCTGTGGGCGTTTCTGTTTTGCTTCTCTTAATGTCAAAGGAAATGTGAAGTGTTGATGTTATAGTAAAAAAACCTACTTCTTCCTAATTATTATATTGATATTTAATGATGTTGTGATGCAGAATAAACATTTTTTAGTTTTAAGAACTATTGATTTGAATCCCCAGAGAAATGGCAATGACTGCCTTGAATATCCTGAATGGTTTCCTGCCTTGCCTGTAGTATTTACAAGGCTTGTGTGGCAGAATTTGGAATTCTGGTGTATTCTGGTTCTGTGAAGCTCCTGTGTATTGGCATGATGGTCAGTGTTTTATTTATGGTGTTCAGTAACTTTTGTGTGTTGTTTGTTGCTGTGAATCCTGAAATCATTAATTTCTGTTAAGTATAATATACTGTAAAGAAAAATCACTTCAGGTGATTAAGAAATAGAGACAGGACAAAATAAAATAGTACATCTTCTTTCTTTTTCCATGAAATTCTAATTCAGTTATATGCACAGTATGATTTTTCTTCATAAATGATAGTTGAAAAATTTTGTCACTTTAAAACTTTAAATAAATCTATTATAAGATTTTACTCATTTTTACCCATGTTGTTATCATCACTCAACCTAGATTCATCACTTTGTACCTTTTGTTTATTCAGATAGACGAATACCTTAATGCTTTTCTCTTCTTCCTCCCCCAGCCCCTCCTCTGGGGTTTCATTACTATGTTTTCATTGGATTGTAGAACAGTTCGGTTTGGAAGGGATGTTAGGAGGTCATCTACTCCAGCCTCTTGCTCAAAGCATGCTATGAGATCAAAGTTTCCTCCTGTACATAGTGATTAAAAATCCCCACCAGCAGTAGCACAGGTTTGTATGTGTTAAGTTCATGTAATCAGAGTTCAGATATTTACATGTTGAGAAGTGAATTTTCCTTCAGGTGGAAGTGCTTCTGAAAATTATTTGCTGATACCGCCTTGCTCAACTACATGGGTTTGGACTTAAAAGCAGATATATTTCATGGCAGACAACTATTCAAATAATCTGTATTGTATCCAGCAGTATTTCCCCCCAGTACTGTATTTAAAGTCTGAGCTCAGGAGAGATTGCAGGAGAAGTCTTGAGGGAAAGGAAGTGTGAAGTTGGGAGGATATTTGGTTGTATGTTATCATTTGTTAAACTTTGCTGTATGAAGAAATAAAATCGGTTTTGGTCCCAATGACTTCTGTAGTGTGAAGATGTTATTGCCCATACTAATATTGAGTAGTGACAGTTACTGTGATCTGAGATCCAGAACTGGTTCATGTCTCAAGTGTTGGATTGCATCCAGAACTAGGGTCGCATTAAAGGACTGCAGTCAGTTTTTATTCTCATCAATCTAGAAAGAAATCTGGTATTCTCAACCTTTTTTTTTTTGTTTGGTCTGTTCTGATTTAAGTATGCAAGTAAACACTTTCTTTTATTCTCCTGGCATGTGAAATGTTGGAAATAAAATGACTGCCATGTTGTTTTCAATTGTTTGTGGTTAAACTTTGAGGAGGTGTGTGTTTGGTTCTGTTTTTTGTTTTGGTTTGTTTTTTTGTTTTTTTTGGTGTTTTTTTTGGTTTGTTTTTTGGTTTGTGTTTTTTTTTAATTCTGTACTTTCAAAAATTTGCATAATCAGTCCTTGTTGAAATATGCAAATCTTTGTCCATAGAGTAGGTCCAGAATTCCATTCTGATGTATGTTTTTCTTTAGGATCTGCAATTTCTGCCATCTTCAAGGATGTGTGGGTGTTGAAAGCTTCTGTATCTACAGATTTGGAGCAGGCTTTCAAAATGTTGGCCATAGCTTTTAAATCTAAATATCTAGGCAGCTTATAGCTTTTCTCTGAAGATTAATTAATGCTAATTTCCAGTATAACTGGAATAAAATGGATGGGAAAGCACTTTTAACATCAGGATGACTGTACTGAGTCAAACCACCACAATGACATAATAGTCTCAGCCTCCAGAGGTTGTATATATATATTTACACTGCTAATAGCTTACCTCAGAAAACTTCCCTTAATTTCTTTCAGTTTTGTATTCTGCATAAAAGAGATAATTAAATTGTAAATTTTTCCTGGAATTGTTGTACATTTGCGTCTCATCTGCTGGATAATGGGTTTTCTTACAGTTTCCAAGTCTTAGTTAAGTCAGATATACCTTGTCTATTACTATAGTTCTGCACTAGGAATTGATGTCTCTATTATCAGTTATTGGGCTGTTTCAGATTTTTTCTGTCTCTAATAATTTGAAAGGAAATTAATAAACTTTTTAGTAATTCTTCAACCTGGAGAATGGTGAAATCATATTACTCTGGAACCTCAAATGAAAATGAAAGGGGATTAATTTCCATTCAAAATACGGATATACTGTGTTTAGTCAGTGCAGTATTTGAAGACAAACAGAGTTTTAATTGGACTTGTGATAAAGATTTTCAGTGTTCTTTTATCAGACATTAAATATATTAATGTAGGAAGCAACACATCTGTGTGGGGTTTTTAGTGATTTTTTGAAGTAGTTACTGACTTGCAGCAATCCACTTCTGATGTAAGGAAATAAATGGGCATACTTCATTCTTTGTGGTAGAAAATCTGAACTACCATGTACCCTATTTAATTTTTGTATAGGGTTGTTACTGTGGTATACAGCTGAAGAAATACTAAATCAACAAAATGGGGTTTTTTTATATTCCTTCCTAGCATATCTACTTATTTACCTAAAATAAAACTCACACTTTATGCTTCCTATGAAATGAGATATTTATGAAAAATAGGATTTGAATTAATGTACTCATTCTATTTCTTCTGAATGCTAACATACAAATTGAGAACTCAAGGATACTATTTGCATATGTCATTCTTTTATGTGTAAGTATTGCAGTCTTGCTGCTGTCATTTTTTCCAGTTTGAAAACCTATTTTAAATATGTAGTTGAAAACAGCTTTCTATGGCAAGTTTTTGTCTTGCTGAAATGAACTATTAAATAGATTTTGGAAAGGAGTATAGCTGGGGTTTTTTTTAGCTATCCTGAAAATATCTTCTGCTGGGTTGTGGTCTCACTATAAAACCACACAGAAGGAGCAGCTAGTTTCCTGTTTGTCCTATCTGTTTCTTGCTTCTGATTAGATTGTGATACTAATGAAACATAATTTACCGCAGGATTTCTCCAGAATGTTGCAGACACCCAAACAAAACATAAACTATATAGATGCTAATTAGGAATTAATGAAGAGTATGTGGAAAACTTTGATTTTGAGTGTTCTTTTAAACAAGTTCTCCTACTAGTAGCATAAGTGATTTTAAGGAATACTTTCAAGGCATGAAACTTTATCTTGAACTTTGAATTTATTTCACCTTTTTCTTTCATCAACATTCCACTCTGGCTGTTTTAATTTATTTCTGCTAGTAAAGTTTCAAACATCTAAAAGAATATAGTTTGTAGATGGTGGTGCTTTGATGTTCTCATGCTCTTTATTCTATTCAGTCGACTTTCTGCACAAAGTTCAAATCTTTGAATGCTCTGAAATAGAAGAATATGCTTTTTGTTCATGAAAACTTTATTTTGTTTCTCTGTTGGCCACAGAGGGTAACAGATTGTCTGGTAAGTATGTAAATTAGAACAATTTTAGTTTAGAAACTTTTGACTTGTGTGTTTAAGTGTGTGTGCCTGTGAATACTCAACAGTTTTTCATGGTGTAGTACTGGTGTTAACAGTCTGCAAGGGATAGATATTCTGAACCTATTTCACACACAAAGGACAATGTACTATTTGTGTGTAACACAGTCAACAAATCTAAGAGTGAGAATCTTTAATTTGCCTTTGAAAATCTACTAAGTGAATGTTTCTCATAAATTTGCTATTTTTATGCAATAAATGACTTACGAAGATTTTTTTTTTCTTATGCATATTCTCTCCTATTTTCACTGAATCACCTTATAAAATTACAGTTACTGCAGGCCACTGTATTGTGTGCTTTTCCAAGGTAACTGAATTAATAGTATAATAGTATAAATCACAAATCTTCTCACGGACAGGGATTCCTAGGCAAAAAGAAGTAGAAAAATAAAATTGATTTAAATTGGTTCAGAATGTTGATTTTTTTTTTTTTTAAACGGAAGATACAACAGGTGTCATACATTACAAGTTTTTCTTTTCCATTACAGAACAACTTCACTTATTTTAGCTTTGTTTTTATAGGCAACTCCAATAAGTGTGTGCTCTGTGCCTCCCTCTCAGGCCCTTTCCCCACATGTATGTGTTGTTTGTAACTTAATCTCTCCTGGTGAGGAAAGGAAAGGCTGTAGGGAAAGCTGAGATGTGTTGGTAAATGTCAGCAGAGGATCGATGCACAACAGACCCACAGGAGTCTGCTCAAGGGGGGGTGGATTTCTTTTAACTACTACGATTGCAAAGCAAAAGTAATCCTAATTTGGGGGGTGAGGTTTGAGTACTTGAGGGGCAAGAAACATTTTCCAGTCTCCCTACCAAAGGACTTGATTAATAAAGCTTCTGTCATCAGTCCACACATTCATTTCGCTTGGATGAGAGTCCTGTATGTGGACAATCTCCTGTCTAATGCTTGGATATGTGCTGGGAGTGCGAAAAAGGCAACTTGAATAGCAGCACTCTGCTGCATTCTGCCAGAACTGCTTGGCTGGTTGGGCTTCCCTGGCAATTAATTTCTCTGAGCTTTTCAGAATGACAGCATGCAGTCCGGAAAGGGGAAATTCTCATTCTTCCTGTTATCAAATGGCTCTGTGGGAGATCTTGCCATCCAGAACACTGAATAAATCCAAAGTGACTTATGGGAGGCAAGCAGTATGTTACTCTTAAATTAGAAGTTGGAAATGGTTTACCCCAGTAATTTTTAAGAAATAGTGTCTTTCTGATAGGAAGCTCATTCAGCTATCAGGAAAACGGACTTTTCAGGTGCAAACAGGGAAGCAGTCAATATGTAGGACACTGAGAAGAAAAGATGTGGATTTGATGCCGTTGTGTTTCTCTGGAATATAGGTAGTTTGGGGGCTTTATCTGTTGGATATGTTGTTTAAGTTTTGGTAGTATGAGAGAACAAAACAACCCTTTTTTTGGTTCAAGACAGGAAATCAGCTAGGTTTATTTGGTGGTGGGTGAAAACCAGGTTGGGATAGGTAAAACATTAATAGCGTGGTATGTGTTCATCATCTTAGAAGGCAGGTAGGGAAGTAATAGTTAGATTTGGGTTATTTTTGTCCCCTTCCTTCTGTTTTTCTACATACCTTTAGGAATTCTTTCTGTAGCATACTTCTAAGAAAATGTTCTTCAAAAATTCTCAACATTTAATAGGCTGTCTTCAATAATTAAACTCTACGTTTATGTAACATTTGCTGTAGCTGAATATCTACAAGGCATCGGAGATCCAGGTGGAGGTCTTGTTTGTGTGGACAGGTACTGTAGAAACAACGTGTATAGAAATCTAATCTGAGATTATAGAAATGACAATTTCTTCTGTTTGAATTGAAATTTGATAAATTGTGCTTTTGTATAACAAACATGAAAAAAATCACAGAGTATTTTTTGAAATGGTAGAACTATGAAACTAATTCTGATCTTGATTTTGTTTTTTCTCTTTAGGTTCAATTTATGAGCCACTTAAAAGTATTAACCTTCTAAAACCAGAGGGGGAAAGTCTGTGGGATAAATTAGATCATTATTATAGAATTGGTAAGTTAATTGTTCTTACCATGAAAGATTTTCAGTGTAACTTACTAAAATGTTTACAGTTATGGTTATCACAGTAATTAGCTTTGCCTTAAAAGAGTATCTGCAGTTTCTAATAAGGATTTTTATTTTCTGAGAGGTGAAAGATTCTTCCATGACAAGAATTTTGTGAGGAATTGTAGTGATGTAATGCATGTATTTGGATATTTCATAAATAGCTTGAAAAATCATGACCTGTAGATAGTGTTCAAAATTGTCATCTGCATTTGTCAAATGGTAGACTAGATTCTGAGTTGTGCCTGGTGGTCTTGGATGGGGAGGGGTAAAGGTAATCTGCTGACAGTTTTTGATGCTTGAACTAAACCAGATATGAATTAGCATTGATATTTACATGATATTTAATGTAGCCACATTATTGCTACTTGAGGATAGTTTCCAAAATTTCTGCGAAGAGTTTGAAAGGCACAAAAACTGGAGGGCTGAATTACACTTCTTGCTGAAAGTGAAACTATATATTGGAAGTCAAGTCCAGCTATAAGACTGAATTCAGAATTATTTTGATAAAACAGTAGCTTGGTATTGTGATACTAGCCAGGTACAGCTAAGGAAACATATAAATGGAAAAAAAATTTCTTGGAAGCTACTAATGGTGCCATATTCGATACTTTTGTGACAAAATTTTATCTGTTGCTAATTTATTTTAAGCCAACTTTAGTGGTTTTCTTTTTAAGTGTTTTCTTTTTAGTGTCTCTTCAGTGTTTTCTTTTTAAGATAAAAAACATATATGTTGAAGAAGCAAGGGTTTATTCTGATTGTTTCGTGTTTTGAGGGGCTTGTGTAAAAGAACTGCTTGTATTCTAAAATCAGTTTTGTTAATGGCTGTGAAATTGACTGTTTAATATTTAAGCTTTATTCAGGCAAGGGTATAGAATAGTGAACAATTTTTCCATCATTTTAAAAATGTGGGATGAGACTTCATTCAAATTACTTTGAAGTGAAATCTGTGAGTTATGCCTAGTCTATCCATAGATGCATTGCTTTTTGTAGACACACTGCTTTTATCTTTCTTACAGAGGAGATGACTGTTCAATTTGCTTTTAACGCTTGGCAGCAGCAAATCTATGGTGGTTCTTGCTATTTATCTGTTGGGCACTTATGTTGCAAGCAGTCTGCTGCCTCAATAAAATTTTACTTGAATTTATATTTCATTTTAGAATAATCTATATTGACTTTTTCAAGTAACATTTTATCAGAGTTCTTGTTATAAGGTATAAGTCACTGAAGAATATAGCGCAAAAAATCATAAACCCCTGTAATTTTCATTTAAAATATTTAATTTCTAATACATAGACAATAAAGAGGCTTTTAAAAATTGGTGCTTGATACCATTCTGGAAAAAAAATGCTTTCTTGTAATGGACAGGTTATTGTTAGAAGGGTCGTGTTCAAAGGCATTGAGCCCAGTTTCAATATTGTAGCACACCTTTCATTATACAATTTCAGGAAAACAATTCACAAAATGTGAAATATTAAAATACTTTTGTGGTTTAACCCCAGCCAACAATTAAGCACCACACAGCAGCTTGCTCACTCTCCCCCCCACCCCCAGTGGGATGAGGGAGAGAATGGGGGGGGAAAGGTAAAACTTGTGTTTTGAGATAAAGACAGTTTAACGGGACAGAAAAGGAAGCACAAGTAATAATAATTAGAGAAGATACAAAACAAGTGATGCGTAATACAGTTGCTCACCACCTTCTGACCGATGCCCAGCCGATCCCCGAGGCATGATGCCCCCCAGCCAATTCCCCCCTGGTTTCTGTACTGGCCGTAACATCATATGGTATGGAGTACCCCTTTGGCTCAGCTGTCCTTGCTGTTTCCTCTCCAGCTTCTTGTGCACTCCCAGCCTCTGCTGGTAGGGCAGTATGAAAAGCTGAAGAAGTCCATGTCTTAGTATGTGCTGCTTAGCAACAACTAAAATCAGTGTGTTATCAACATTATTCTCATCCTAAATCCAAAACAACACTATACCAGCTACTAGGAAGAAAAATAATTTTATTCAGCCAAAACCAGGACAAGCACAAAAAGAATGAAAGTAAGATTTTATATTTCTTCTAGTTCAGTTTTGACGACTTGAAAATTCCTGTCTTGTTCTATTTCCTTGTCAAGGTACTGAGTTAAGTAATCTTGCATTACTTACTCTTTACTTTATAAAAAAATATTGATACAATCGTCTGGCATAAGTTCAAAATTTAATATTTGTGAATCTAGAGTTCTACAGAGTTTTAACTATTTAAATTGGGGGGGGGGGGCAGTTGATGTACTGTAGCACCCCCCTTTCTTTTACTTTTTCCATGAAAGGGAAATTACTGGGTTGTGTTGTAGAGATTTGTACAGGAGTGGCTTGTACTTAGAACAGTCACATAAGTATTTTTTTGTGTGTCTCTCTCCTTACCTTTCTTTTTTGTTTTATGCTGCACATACTCTAACAGGTTGTTCACATCTTGATTTATTCCTGAAAATCTATGTGGAAATGCAAAGAAACCTAAGTATCATTAATACCATTTTTCCTTTTTTCCTTTTTCTAGTTAAGTCAACGTTGCTGCTTTATCAAAGCCCCACCACAGGTCTGTTTCCTACAAAGACATATGGGGATAACCGAAAGGCAAAAATACATGACAGTCTTTACTGTGCTGCATGTGCTTGGGCATTAGCACTTGCTTACAGGTGAATAACTTCTAAACTCAACATTCTTGTCATGTTGCATTCTTTCTCTTATGCAGTTCTGCAGGAATGATGCTTTATCAAAAATGGTTTTGTAAACCCATAGAGATGGTACACGTTTCCAAATCTCAATAAAAATATTTATGTAGTTACTAGGTTAAAGAATGTAACTCTACTTTTGGTAAGTAAAAATGTTTTCTTATAATTTAATTGGTACCATTATTCTGAAACAGAGGTATTAATGCATGCTATTAAAAATAAAGGTTATTGTGATAAACTACTCAAGGAATACTGCTCATTTTAAACACAGTAGGAGAATTCAGAGCAGAAACAGGCTTGTTGCAGGTAGTAACAGTCCAGGTACTCACAGGAGGCAGAATCCTTGAATGCTGAGAAATGTATATTTCTGAAATAATAGTGGCTATCTTCCTTGCTAGGTATGAAGGCAGGACAGTGTCAGTTGTTAGCTCTTCTTTCCTGTTTTTCTTTCTGCTGTTGACTCATTAGAGCAGTAGGTTAGAAATTTGTATGGTGGAGTATGACTTTTAAGAACTATGGGAGAGTTACTTTCCGTAATAATTTATTAATAATTCCCTCTCCTTTAGGTCAAATAACTATGGAAATTGCTTTCTGAGGTTTAGTATTCCTTGATTCCAACCTTGCTACCCCAGCCACCCAGGAAAACACAAACGGAAGTGATGATAACTCAAATGCAGCATTTTTAAGAAAGAAGATGGTGTGCAGATATCGAATAATTTACTCTTTTTAGTAATCAGCTTCTTGTACTGAGGTAGTGATCATGTTCTTCGACAAAATTCTAGTATATTTTACAGAAGGGCCAGAAATACTACTAGCTACTGTTGAAGTAAAGATGATCTACTTAGAAGATAAAAAGTTTTGAGTTTCTTTTGTGTCTCCATTTATTGCTTTAGATTCTGTACCTCTGACACCAATCTGAAGAAACAGTTATTAAATTTTTTTTCTCAGAAATGTTGTTATAAACGGATAATTTTGAAAGAGAAGATGTAGAGATCTGTGTTTACTTCTGGAGATGCTGTGCTGAGATCTAACAGGTTTCAAAATGTTGAGAAATGAGCAAAAGTTATAAAGAAATTAACATTCAGAATGTGTAATTATTACTTTCATTTCTTATATTGAAATCTTTGCATCTTTTAATTCCTCTTTCTGTTGGTGAAATAAAAGTATTTGAAAACAAAAAAAATAGAATTTAGAAGGAAGAATTAAAGGAGTAGAGGTGATTATTTTGAATTTTCAGCAACTCAGAAGAGAGCATGGCATAATGTTGCCCAAGTTATTCAGTCTTTAATTTCCAGTATGTAGAATCAGAAAATAATACATGAAATTTGCTCTAGGTTGAGGGAAGGGCAGTGTGGCGATATAAATAGCTTGTGTTATTTCCAGGTATGCTCAGAACGGGGTCCTGAACTTCAGATGCTGCACAACAAATTTTCTTTGATGGGAAAGGTTAATGATTGAAATTAAGTGAATGCCTAAACTCTGAAATGAGCCAAGATACAGGACTCACGTGGAAGGCTATGTTATCTGCCACATGCCAGTTACTGTGCTTGACTCATGCCAGTGCTGCTGTTCACTTTCATAAAAGCTACATTTCTTGAGAGCATGTTAAAAAACCAAACACCGCTGTTGTGAATAGAAGAAAAATGTAACGTGAAAACTTAGGAGCTTTTACATGTGCTTCTTACTGCTCTTTGGATTTATGATAAAGTTGAGAATAAATCCTACTGCTTAAAAAATTCTTAACCTCTTCATTTTGCGTTATCAGATTTTATTTCTTGTGGGGTTACCTTTTCCCCCCTTATTTAATTTTGTAATTGAAAGCACATACATTTCTTGTATCTAAGGTTATGATTTAAATAGCATGATTTCTGGATGTGTATGACTTCTTTAGGTTATCACTGCCTTCCTAATTTTCAGTGTAGGTAGCAGAACCTTGGCATAAACTACTAACATATTAAGTATGGTGGAAAAGGATATGCTTCGTTTGCAGTGTAGTTATCCACTTACCTTTAATCAAATTAGTAACAGCTATAAAGTGGACTGAGAAATAGCAGTGAGCATATGATGCTGGATTGCATGTTTGTATTAGAGAGATGTTGTTGTTAGTTACAAATATGTAAGAAAACATTATTTTCAACCTGAAATGCTCAATCAAAAATTGAGAACTGGAAAGGGCAGAACACATGAATGCGGTAATCAAGGTTGTTTACATGCAATACATTTCTTACAGTTAAAGTAACTTGGGATTTGGCATTGGTTCTAATATATGTTTAATAATATAGTATTTGTGAGTTGTGTTTGATTTCACAGTGTAAAAATACTAAGGTAACTTCACATTTCTGGACATTCAGAGCAGTGAAGTTTCAGGCTCTTGTGTGCACAGCTGTAGTTTATCAACATGATCAGGAAGGTGGCAGCTTGATAATGAATGGCAGATATTTTGTAGAGTGAAAGAGAAATTGCCTTTATGTTTTGGATCTCAAGTGCAGAGCAGTAGCTTCTAATATCAGCAAGGATTTTTTTTTTCTTTTTAAATTTTGAAATAAGAATGTGTAAGTTGCAATGTAAACTAAAAAGCTGCTGCTTTTTTTTTTTTAATTAAGGAAGAATAGGTAGGGCTTATAAGTATGTTGGTATGAATGTGGGCACTACCATACAACGGTCTTAGTTAAATGCCTAATATTCCAAAGCACTAATGTGTCCTTCTCTTCTTTTTTTCCCCCCTAATGCGTTTGCAATTTGTTTTATGAGTTATCTCTCTTACCCAGGCGTATTGATGATGACAAGGGAAGGACTCATGAACTGGAGCATTCTGCTATAAAGTGTATGAGAGGAATTCTTTACTGCTACATGCGTCAGGCCGATAAGGTAAAACAGCATAGTGTGGACACAAGCATTCAATTCTAAGGGATTAATTAAACTTAAAACTAAATATAGATGAAATTCAAGAGGGGAATGCAGTATTACTATGTGTCCCAGCTAACAACAGCTGCTTCGTTATTGTCAGGCTTCAGCACTGGGTTAGGGCATAGAACACAGGAGCGTGTTGTGAAGTAAACTTGCGAAGGGCATACTTGAAACTTCCTTGGGTTCCTTCTGCAGTGATTTATCCTGTCGTAACATTAGACCATTAGTAATTTGGGGGTTTTTAATGTCTTTTTAGTGTTTAAATGGAAAGATGTAGAATTTTTTAGCTAAGGCTAAAAGAGTTTTCTTTGCACTGTTAACTTGGTTATTACATTTGCATTTGTTCCCCTTACCTAGGTGATTGTTTTGATTATTTTGTTTGGTTTCTTTAGCAGCCACTTTCCAGTATTCTTTGACTTAATGATGTAAATTCAGAAGGGTAGCAACCCACATTGAATAAGGAAACAGAGTAATTTACTTACGTTATAAAACAGTTGATTTATTTAGCCTGTAATCCTCTTGTGAGTATACTCTGAATATTCCCGAATATTTAGGGCTTTTCTTTATCAGAATTTATATGTGGTGCGTTAATTTTGCATAGTGGTTAGCAGTATTTTTGAAGGTAGTTAATTATCTATATTCCATGTGATTATTTTAAGTTTCATGTCACTGACTTTTAACTGTATTATTAAAAGTAATTTTCTGCCACATAGCTTCCATCACTTATTCTAAGCACACAAACTGAAATGTAAAGTCCATAGGCATATCAATGATAATAATAATAATAATAAAATTGAGTGTATTGCCAGTTACATTTATGCTGACATGATATTTTTTCTGAGTTTTCTTGGTCTGTTTCTTTGTAGTCTCATATCTTTAAATAATATTGCCCCAATTTGATCTTGTTACATTTGTTCTTCTCTTTGACATGCAGTGGTTTGTTTTGAGAAGAATGAGTACAGATATGAATAATGAGCATTAAATTAACACAGATGTCACATGCTGGTTGTCAGTTTTTGCCTTGATTACTATAAATGCTTCTCTCTTCCTACAGTGTAGTAATAAACAGTCTCTGGTACCTAACAGACGTAAGTCAAACTGGACTTTATTCTGAGAGACTCTGTATGTGCTAGTCTCATATAGAAACAAGATAATTTTTAATAATATGAATTACATATGCCCAGTGCATGACTTGAATAGACGCTGCTGCTTGTGACAGAAATTGCAGATGTTATATTCTGTTGCTAGTGAACATACGAGTTATGACCTAAAATATATTGAATGCGTTTATGGACTAGACATAACTATAAAATTGTATTCACTTTCTTGTTTCTGGGGCACATGCTATGCTATGTATGATTTGTTGGTAGAAAAGAATATCCCATGAATATAAGATCAGTGTTGAAAATGTGAAATGCAGACCAAGTACTGTCAATTATTGTCAGAAGATTCCAAAACTGTTGGAGAGCATAGAATGACTTGAGAAATTATGGAGAAGGATCTTCTTTTGTTACCTTCATTCTTTTCTTTGTGAATTTGATTTTCTTTCTCTGTGCTATTGGCAGCTCTCTGACAGTCGAGATTGTTTTCTAAAATGGTTTTGTAAGGTAGCAAACATCTTATTTCATGACACAAAAGGAATTAAAACTACTGTAAAACCACTGTAGTTCTTATTTCACACCTTTGTTGTTAACCTCTTGTATTAGTAATTAATTTTACATTATTAAAATTTTGCATTTTTTCTCCATCATAAGAGATTCTGTATCATAGAGGCTCATTCTGAGGTCCAATGATAGTGTCCATGAATAAAAAGTAATTTTACTTTGGGGTACTGTTCTTCCTATCTATGATCTTTGTTTTTTTCTTCAGCTATCAGCTTTGCCTCCTAGTATCTGTAAACATTTCACTGTACATCTGATTGTTACAAACTGTGCTCACCAAAATAAATCTTTTTCTCATGTACTCTTTTATACTAAATATTCTCAGCTCTTGCATCTTTTCATTTGTTGTTACATGATCTAGATGTGGCAATTTCTGAACACTTTTATAGGTCTATAACCCATAAGGCTTAAAAATTATTAATAACAATAATAATAAATTTTTTATTTTAAAACCTTTATTGCATTGTCAAATGGTACAATAATTACTAAATTTTATGGATCATGATTCATAAAAATTATTAAAACTATTATTCCCAACAAAAGTTTGGGGCTCTTGCACTCCAATGAGAGCTTTAAACTAGGAATAGTGGGCAGGAGAAAGTGTGAGAGTCAATCAAGTGAGGGAGTGGTGGATGGGGTACACAAGCAAAGGGCCTGGAGTGATGTGTACAGAAGTCACTTAGTATTAACTGGAGTGGAATTGTCTCAAGAGTACATGTGGAAATAAGGATGTACCGATGGGACAGAATTACGAAGAAGAAAGCTCTCATACCCCTCTGGGAAAACGGTGTGCTTGGGTGCCCTCAGAAATGCCTGGACACCAATGTATGCAGCATGGGGAACAAAAAGGAGGAGTTAGAAGTATGAGTACAGCTCCAGGGCTATGATGGCATGGGATTACAGATCAAGTGACTGGAATGCTGAGATGGATGGATGCAGGCTATTTAGGACAGGCCAGGAAGGTGTGGAGGGGAGTTGCCCCATATGTGAGAGAGTAGCTGGAATTCATGGTACTCTGCTAGGGAAACAGGGTGATCCAGCTGAGAGCTTATGGATCAGAATTCTGTATGTACATTTCAGATCTGTGAATTTGAGGTTGGGGAGGTATGCTTTGACATGCTTGCTGCGAAGACTTGACCTCCAGTAAAATGAGATGGTGTTTGTCCAGAAGATGGAAGTGACTAAGCATCTGCAGCTGTCTCTTACAGATTTTTTATTTTTTTTTTCCTACCAAACATAAAATAGATTAGATAGATGGGTTGAATATTGATATTCTTTAAGTATATGTATACTTAGTTTCTGATGAGTTTCAGGAACTCTTGTTTATAAGTTTTATGTAGTGATCATATCAAGAAATTGTGAATTATCTGAGTTATCGAGTAAATTTGTGGTTGCCAAACACTGAAAATACTGACTTTGATTTTAAATTTTGCTGTTAATTCACCTTTAGGTTCAGCGGTTTAAGCAAGACCCCAAACCGTCTGAATGTCTTCATTCTGTTTTCAGTGCAAACACTGGAGATGAGGTCTTCTCCCATAAGGAATATGGTCACCTTCAGGTAAAATATGCATGTGCGTGTAAATGAAAGTTTGAATGATTTTAAATAATGTTATCTCCATTCTTTCATGATGTAGCTGTCTCAGTTTTAGATTTCTGTTAGATGTGTTGTACTTGTTAAAATTGAGATCCCTTCTGCATCTTTTGGTGAAAAAGACAGACTGTTTTAAAAAACAACTCAGTGGTAGGTTTTGGTCAGAGAGTACTGAAATACCTCTGGGATTTGTGGAGATAGATGGCAGGTTTTTTATGAAGTTGCTTCTTTTTGAGAACAACAAATGGCTGTCAATAAATAATCTTGACAAAAAAAAATGTTGAAGTCGTCAGTAAAATGAAAGATTTAGTGTAATCTTACATTGAATATTGTATTTTTTTATTAACATTTCCAACCTAATTTTCTATGTCTGAGCAATTTGCATTCATAGTTCAGATTTAATATACACTGTCAAGAGCTTTGTCTAGTTAGAAATTGTCGTTTACTATTTTTTGTAGTTGTTCCTAGTCAGATTCATTGCATAATTGATTGTTTTATTGTCTTTCATAACCCAAGTGTTGATTTACTCTTTTCCTTCTCTTTACCTTCAGACACTTTTTTGCATTCATTACCTTGTTCTTTTGCATTCCATAACTCCGCGTACACTTAGTTCAGAAATTGCTAGTGAAATTACTCTGAAGTGACAGTAGGTTGATAATTATTTAATTTTGTGGAGACAAGATCATTTAAAAAGTTTGTACAGTAATCGTGTTGGATTCAGGAAATGTCTGCTCTGAGAAAAATTACTTGTGGAATGCTAAGTTAGCATTTTGGACTCCTGTGTGAAGCTTCCTGAAAATGCACATTTTCTATCTGCAGGAGGAGACAATAATTTGGGGGACCTGGGGAGCACTATATGATAGATCAAAGTCTTTGGTTTTGGTGGCAACTCAACCCTTCCCATAAATGTGAATGCACATTCCCTTCAGTCATCAGCAAATCTCAAAACATAAGAGGCTTTTCAGCTGGGTGGAGACAACAGAAAACAAAGTAACTGAGGTGGTTCAATTTGGAAGAATGGAATATATTACATAGCTGGTCTGCTGTTACTGCTGTACTTGGTGCTTTTTGGATTGTATTAAGAAACTCAAATCAGTGGTCTTTAAATCCTTTGGAATTTTAAAAATTTGGACCTTAATCTGCTGTGTTTCAGATGAGAAAATAATTTTTTGTCCTAGGTGGTTTCTCTGAATTTCATATGCTAAGATTATGGTTTTATAGATCATTGAAGCAAGTTACTGTGATAAACTTACTTTCTATATTGAAGTTGTACACATTCTCAATTATACTAGAATTCTGTGTAAGAAAAGCAGTTTTCTTTGATTTATTAATAAATTGACATTATTTTGGTCATCTGTACAGCTGCTGAAGGTAATTACTTTTAATAATAAATGCTATGTACAGCTACAAAAGAAAACAGTTTTTAAAAAATATAATCATAGAATGGTTTGTGTTGGAAGGGAGATTAAAGATCCTCTAGTCCCACCCCCCTGCCCTGGGCAGGGACACCTTCCACCAGCCCGGGTTGCTCAAAGCCCCGTCCAACCTGCCTTGAACCCTGCCAGGGAGGGGGCAGCCACAGCTGCTCTGGGAAACCTCTGCCAGCGTCTCACCACCCTCACAGGGAAGAACTGCTTCATAATATCTAATGTGAATTTATCCTCTTTCAGTTTAAAACTGTTCCTTCTCATCCTATCCCTGCACACCCTGACCAAGAGTCCCTCCCCACCTTTCCTGCAGCCCCTTTCAGTACTGGGAGGCCGCTCTAAGGTCTCCCCGGAGCTTCTTTTCTCCAGGCTGAACACCCCCAACTCTCTCAGCCTGTCCTCACAGGGGAACTGCTCCAGCCCCTGAGCATCTTTGTGGCCTCCTCTGGACCCACCCGAGCAGGTCCATCTCCTCCTTATGTTTGGGGGCCCCAGAGCAGGACACAGCACTGCAGGGGGGGTCTCACAAGAGTGCAGTAGAGGGGGAGAATCATCTCCCTTGACCTGCTCACACTTCTCTTGATGCAGCCCAGGACACGGTTGGCTTTCTGGACTGTGAGCGCACAGCATATCTGAATGTTGTAATTATACTTCTGTCAGTTTATAACGATGAAATTCCAGTTTGGGATAAAGTGATATGCTTTTTGGATGTGCTGTGTGCTATTCAGTTTGCTACTTGTCTTCTTGGTGCTCTACTTGCTTATAAAATTGGCATATATGTAAATGTAAAACAGCTTGTGACTAAAATGATTGTCTGCGGGTCAAAGCAATATGCCTAAGCAAAAACATTATAATACCGTAATTTCAAATAACTTAAAAAATGATACTGCAGCAGAAGTTTTAGAGGACAATGCTTGTTTGTGACATTTCTTCCTATTGATTTTTTCCACATCATTAAAAATACTGTCCTTATCTACCAATATCCTAGATGTAAAGAACCAAAACTGTGTTATAGTGGGACCATCTTAGTGAGTAGTATCACATTTAGCTTGTTTGTTTATGTGACTCCAATAAACATAAAGTTAATTATAGTTTCCTTTCTGTCTTTAATTACTTCAGATAAATGCTTTGTCGTTATTTCTCCTCTATTTGGTTGAGATGATCTCTTCGGGGCTGCAGATTATCTACAACACAGATGAGGTACAAATCGATTTCCGATGTTAAAACACTTGCTTCATTAAATTGTTTGGTTTTATTTCCTTGGTTTTATTTAATTGCTAACTGTAAAATAATTGTTCTGGAAATACACTGCAGGTATTCTCCACTTTTAATGGAAGTCAGAAAAGATAAATGGATTGAATGGATGGTGAAATAAATTTATAGCTAATAAAGTGTTAGATATGCAAGCACTGAATGTAACATGACATTGAAAACTTTTATAGTTCACTGCTATTTCTGGAAGGTACAGAGTCAAGAAATAAAAGGTCTGTTAGGACAATTAACTTCTAGCTATGTTGTTCTCACTTTTTACCTTATTTTGAACTGTCAGTCAGTGCATTCTGTTCAGTGAAATTTCAATATAATAAATAGTAAGGTTAATTTTATGGAAAGCTGAAAGACTTTCTTCAAATATATTCAAACCTATGGGTTTTAAGAAGTTTTGTTTATCTTCAATTGAAAACAAAACGATTTTATATCATGGTAAGATGTGTGAGATTGTTAACTACTCTGTAAATAAGATAATAATACCCACAATGGCCTTAACTTGAAGACAGATTGTGTCAGGACAACCTGCTGTCCTGCTTTAAAATGGGGTTACGTTTTGAGACAGGAACCGAAAGCACAGATTATTTTTTTTTTTTTCTTAATTGGGATTTGTTTAAATTTACTCTGGTCTGTTTAATAGTCATTGCTGTATTGACTTAAAAAGTGTAAGTGCAGTTATAGTACTACTGTTTTGAAAAAAGGGAGATTTTTTCCATTAATACTGTACGTGAATTATATTTCTAAAATGAACATCTTTGTTAATGTTTTTTTCTTTAGATAATGAGAAAACTAAGTGATGCAACTTGTTTTCTTTTTCATTTAGTTAGATCATATGATAGATATATTATTTTCTCTAAATCGCCTTTATGTCTGTGAGGAGGCAAATGTATATAATTATGTATTTACTCAGCTTGACTTATAATTTATATTATCCTCCAGATGTTTGCATTTAATTAGAGAATCTGCAGAAAAAGCGCGTGTGTGTAGACTCTCCAATCAGTGGATGTTACGCACTTCAATGTCAGGATGTAGTTTTCATTGCAACTGCACCCCAGAAATCTGTTGAATAGGGAGATTTATACTAAGATTATTTTACCACAGACATGTACATTATATTAACCCCTGTATAGCTTCAACAATTTTATATATTCTCAGGTCTTACTAATGCCACATCATTATGGAATTAGCAAGTTTTCCTGTGTCTCTAGATAATATTTAGCATATGGCATTGGCAGCAATTTGGATGTGGCAATCTTCTACCCAAACATCAAATTGGATATTTCTTTCCAGTTATATTATTGCACGATGTATTCAGTCTCTTCCCTTTCATAGAGAGAGGGTTTTGAACCAGTGCTAGCATAGTGGAAGGTGCTGGCAGATGGCTGATACTTGGCAAGCTGTTTGCATGAGTATGTTTGTACACAGAACTCCTGGCTTCCGAGACACTCCCTGTATACCAGGCTGCTTGATGTCAGGCATGGCAGCTGTCAGTGAGTTACCCTCTAGTTGCATCTGTTTGCAGTTGAAAAATTAATTTAATTGCATCTTTACGTCCATAATAAAGAGAACAGTATATGATTGTGCAAGTAAATATTGAGAGCAGTTATCTACACATAAAACAGAGTAACGCTACTATTTGAAGTCATCCATGCTGCATGTATTCTTTATTACACCTTGCTCTCCACGTGCTTGACCAGAAAGATAAATAAGCTTAACATAGACAATCCATAATTTCTGTAATTGCTTTAGCATTGCCTTGGTTATAGCATTTACATGCCCATAATATGAAAGATTACTCTGTGAAGTTTTTTGGTTTACAACCAGTTATCTGCTGCCTTTTTTCTATGAATCTGCTAATTGTAAACCCTTAGTTAGTCTCATAAAATATCTGTAACAGAGCGCTTTTTTCATGTGTTCTGAACATCATAAATGGTAGAAAGTCATCAGTAAGCTTATATATTTCTGTGTGATGCTTTTTGTTTCTTCACTTAGCTGATGCATCTAAAATTCATTTAATGATTGAGATAGGCGAAGCCATACTCTTAATCACTGGGTGTTCTCACTTCATCCAGAGAAAGTTCATTTTAATACAACCAAATGCTAAACTACAGCAATGAATAATACTGGGCATATCTAAAACGCGGGACAGTCTGTTTCCATGAAACTACTAGCTATGAAGAGATTTAGTGCGTAGATAATTGTACATGAGCACCCCACAGTGAAATTTAGCAGAGAGAGAGAGAGAGAGAGAAGGAAGTATAGAATTATATATATATCCCTGGTGGACTGGTATTAGCATAAATAACGTAACTGAAATAGTAACTTTTTAAGATTTAAAAAAAAATGTCAAGAAAGAGACAAAACAGTGGTATGTAGATACATTAAAATGTAATTTTCTATAAAATATTTATGTTTTATCTCATTGCTCATTAAAAAAAATAAATTTACTTGACTGTAGTAAAGTGGATCCTCCTGTACTTCACCAATATGGTTGTGTGATAGCCATTGCAATATTCTCTTTTCCCACAGAATCCCCTAGAATAATTTGGGTGGCAGGGGATAAAATCCCTGCTTTGGTGGATGAACCACTGTAAATCTTGTGTTTGTTGTTAAATTTCCTGCAAATTCTAATCTGTGGACTCTCTGAACTGTAAAATTTATCATCAGTTTGACTTTTCTACAATTGAGCAACTCAAATGTCTTTCGACAGTGAATGAGGAAAAAGTATCTGCTTAAATCCTCTGCTATAGTTAAATGCACCTTAAATACCTTAAAATACCCTTAAATACCTTAGTATTCAGTATTCAGAAACATGTTGATCCAAGAGATTTTAATTATAACAAATTGGTCTAAGTTTTATTTGTGTTTATAAAGGAGTGAATTTGAATGTGCATAAGTACATATTGTCTGAAGATAAGATAATATAATGACATTTTGGCATATCAATTATCTTAAAATGAATTAAGAAATAGCACCAAGATGTCTCTGTCCTATTCTTGTAGGATTTAATTTCTTTTGCTCTCATGTTGTTTTTAGGAGAAACCTAAAGATTGAAATGCTACCTTTTTGGAGCTCTTCAAATATGTTTCTTGAATATGAAATAATTTTTATCCTTGGCTTTGCAGGAGCTTTTGCATAAATCACCTAATTTGGGACAGTTCTTAATTTTTGTGATGAAAAACTGGGTTTAAAGAGAATATCTGAACTTGGGAACATCATTTTCAGGGTGGGGTGGGGTGGGGAGAAAAGAATGCAAGGCACAGTTAGGATAGCCGAGGAAAACAACTTTGTCTGTTTGAAAAAATGAACGGAAGAAAATTATGCTTTAATTTCTTTCAGTCAGTTTCCTTTTTTCTTTATTTATTTCTTATAGGTTTCCTTCATTCAAAATCTTGTGTTTTGTGTGGAAAGAGCCTATCGGGTACCAGATTTTGGTGTCTGGGAAAGAGGAAGTAAATACAACAATGGCAGTCCAGAGCTGCATTCAAGGTAGGTGAGCAAATGTAGCTCTTTAAGTTCAAAGCAAGTAAATGTGATATGAATAAAATGAATTCATGGAGTGAGTTAAAAATAATAATGCGTTAAAATACTATTTGAACTGAATTAAGGTTCTCTAAAGACTGACACGTATTTTGGGAAAATGTGAATCCTCTTTTCATCATCATATGCATGTTGAAATAGCTGCATAGATGCTTAGCTATTTTAGTATTCAAATTCCAGTAATTATGTGCAGCTGCACGCATATATTTCTGAAAATTGTGTTCAGATCAGTTCAGACTCTTAAGGCACATGCAGTACATTGGATTCACTAAAATGTTTAGGAATATCCTGATTTAAGATACTGATTCATGAGACTGTATTTTCTCATCTCCACTGTGATGGTAGGAAGATGCTGGACACTGTGGAGGATAGCCTAGTGCACAAGTTCTTTTCCAGTTTCTTCAGATGCTACACATAACTGGGCGTTGTGACCCCTGTCCTGTGTGACAGCTAGGAATGGTCACAACATTTTAATATTAGTGTGGTGCGGTTCAATTCAGTGGAATTGCTCACATGCTGTCTATCTTGAATAATCAAATCTGTAATATGACAACTTGCTTTTTCTGGTGTTGCTATTATTTTCTTCACATTTTTATTAATCATAAAAATGACTGTTGCTTGGATATCTTAAGATTTTTAAAATATCATTGATCATCATAATTATCATGGGCTTGGAAATAATACACTTGTGTTTATTCCAGTCTTTGCTGCTGCCAGATGAACCTTTGTTCTCATTTCAGAATGAAATAGTTTTTCTTAGTTCACATCTAGGCATGTATTTTAACCTATAGATACAATGACACGTCATTGCAGCAAAGCACGTAATTTAGGTTTGTTTTTTTCAGGGCTTTTGTAGAGCTTTAGTACCAGTATGAGAACTGAAAACTGCAATTTGTTATTATATAACCTGCTTTATTAGTTTGTTGGATTTCTTTCTTTCTCCTATGTCTGTAAAATTGTCAAATGCCAGACTACATGAGTGTTCACTTAAAATCATATACTTCTGCATCTTGCCTTGTACAAATTCACAAAAGGAACACTGGAATTCCTATGTTTCCTGTTATTATCAGCACTCTGGTTATTCAGTATGTGAGTTTACTTCAGGGAAAACTGAACATCTTTTAACCAGATGGAAATGGGCATGTATGCTTGTCTTAATCTAGACTGACATTTATAGGTTGATTTTTCTAAGGGTGAAGTTTTATGAGATAGACTGAACTAATCTAAGACATCATTGAGCTGGTGCAAAAGGAAATAAAAAACTTGGTCCTAATTTAAGAAGTAGATTTTGGTCAGCAGAAGCAGGTATTGCCCCTACTTATCTTTCTTTGTGTATATGTTGATACTCCACTGTAGGAAGCCAGTAGACAATTTTCCGTGTTCTCGTAAATTAGAAAAAGTGGAAGAAAAACATGTGTCATAAGGTGTGTTTAGATATTATTGAGGGAAGCTCTGGGTACACTAAAACATTCTTTATACTTTGTTATGCTCCTATTGTAGTGTATGCATCTAAGAAATCTCTAAAAAAATTTTTTTTTAAAAATTAAAGAGGTGATTATAACTAATCAGGCCTAGTCATGAATGATGTATGTATGTCTTCAGCGATTGGGGACTCCAAACCAGTCACTTAAGTTTCAGTATTAAATATGCTGTACTCCTGGCCGTTGAAACTCACATTATAAGTCAAAATTATAAGTTAATTCTTGTCTTTTATTGAAAGAGGCTTTCTTTTTAAAGAAGGTGTTATATAATATGGAGCCCATGAATAATAACTGAAAATTATAGCCTGTGTTAGAAGATGCAGATATTTTAAGTCTTTACACAGTCTTAGTATTCTAGCTTAGTACAGTTCAAAACACTTCTAATAAATGATAAATTGCAAAACACTCTGTGGACCAGGTCTTCATTGATGTATGCAAATTGGTGTCTTACTGGTTCAAAGGCAAGGTTTGTAACAGCTTTTATTATAGTGTGATCCCCTTTCCATACGGCTGAACTTCTGAAAAATTAATTTGTCCTGTAACCATTTGATCAAGCTGTTCTCCAGGCATTTGCTGAGTACCTCTACAAAATGTCTTTGACATCTCCCAGATGTACTGTGAGAATAATGAAATTTCTGAAGTGCAGTCTTCATATTCCAAATGTAAGGCTGTAGAGCCTTGCTCAATCTTGCTCTTCTCTGTAGTGTAGGTATTATATTGCTATAGTGCTGTCCTCCTTGTTCTGTTTTGTTTTGTCTAGTTAATAAATTACTGTTGTTCTGGCATTGTTTTTTGATTTATTGTTGGTTTTTTGTTTGGGTTTTTTTTAACATCCCTTGTGGTGTTTGATATTCCAGTTGAACTGCACAGTTCTTGGATGGAGGCAAGAAACTGTGAATGGGAGGAGGAATTAAGGATGTATGTGCTTTAAGGTGTGTTTTGATCAGCAGTAGCTAAGAATATGCGAATTTTAGTGTTTGCCCTCAGGTATTTTACTGAGAGGGTAAATCTAACAAAAATTTCTGGAAATTACGAATGATGTTTAAATGAATTTAATAATGCTTTTTTAGGAAGCTGGAAGTGTAATTTCTTTAGTTTCTCAGCTTCCCCTGCCCAAAATGTGGATCATGGTCAAATGCTACCCATAGTATTATGATTGCAAGATGCTCTTCATAATCCATGACAAATCACAATAATAGGCAGCTACAGTAAGGTCTACAGATTGTACCTGGGAAGGTTCAGTGTGGCTTTAAGAAGAAACCTTTCAGCTTGAATCGCAGTGAAGCACCACAGCAGGATACTCAAGATACAGAATCTCTGTCCATGGAGGTTTTTGAGACTTGTCTAGATGAGGCTATAGTTTACTTAAATTAGTATTGGTTATTGTATCTGGCTTCAAGTGAGATTTCATGTTGGACTAGAGGGGTTCCATATGTCCCTTCCAACCAATGACTTTATGATTGTGTAAAATTTTCAGAGAAATATTTGAAGAGGGTTTGGGTTGGGCTTTGTTTTGGGGCCATCTCCAAGTAAGCATCTTTTTCTCTGGGAATGGAGTCCAGCAGGTTAACACAGCATGTTCATAGTAGACTGCTGAGTGGAGGAAGGAACATATTTATTAAAATAGTTTTCCCTTTAATTCATACTGTTTAAACAGTCCATTTTTTTCTTTTATTGTAGAGTATGAAGAATGTATTTTCTGTAGAAAGACATGAGCATAACATTTATTAGAAAGTCTCTTTTCTAATTTGCCCAACAGGAAGACATTAATCAGTAGGAATGAAACAAGTGTCTGAAATGTGATCATAGTTCTGAAGCATGTTGGGTTGTGTGATTGTTCAGTCTTTTAAAGACATATTTGATACTGTATTGATACTGAGAAGCTGTTCTCAGACTTTTTAAAGTAACTTCTACCTGTCAGTTACTCATGAATCTTCTAGTAATCTAAGTAGCACTTTATGTATGGTGAAGGCAATGCTTGATATACCATTGTAATGTGAAGAAGTATTAAATAATGGGGGAAAGAAAGTAGTATTTTAATATTGAGACATTTAATATCTCATTTGCAAGTAATATTTTGGAGAGTACTGAAGTTTCCAGGGGCTTTGAATAGCTAGAGGTAGAAGAATACTGATTAATTACAGTAAGTAGTATTGTGGAATGACTATGTAAAATAGAAATTATTTCAGGGAAAGAATCCATACTTGTCTTCATTTTTTTTTTTCAAGCAGTATTGTCCTATGTTGTAGATAGTGAGTCGTTTTACAGTATCTGAATACCAGTGGTTGTTGCTGTTGAACAACTATTACTTCCCTACCTTTTTTTAGTAACTTTTTTCCTCACTCTGAAAATATCTGACTATTGATATTAGAAGTGTTATTTGGAATGGCACAGAAGAATATGAGATTTTAAGTGTGTGGGATTTCTATGATTTTCATTTTCTATGTATGCAGTTTGATAATAATATTTAACTCCTATGAAAAGTTCTGTTCTGAGTCATTACGCCAGTTTGTTTGAGCAATTGCTAGGTGATAATTAAAATAGATCAATTGTTAGAACAATTACATTTTTGTTTAGGTATTTGAAACAAAGCCAGAAAAATAATTATATTCACAACACTTCTGAATTCAGTTTATTCCTTCATCACATTCTCCAGTACCAAAAACTTTTCATCAGCAGATGAACCGAACTCAGGGATTTCACCACTGTTTGATAGCAGCTGCTCTGAGCAGAACTTAGTTACCCTAATCAGCTTTCTCTTGTTGAACCAATTAGAATTAAATCCCATGACTACTATTTCTGGCAATGTTTCAGAAAGAAAGATGGAAGTTTATAAACCTGTTGGTAATAGTTAAAAAGAATGATACAGTCTGAAATCAGTGTCTAAAGTACTTCTAATATTAAAACCAACACACGTAAAACAGTACTTAAACAAAATCTATAACTCTGCACTGAATTTTTTTTCTAATTTGAATATTTTCTGTGTAATCATAAATTGGATCCCATATTTGAAATATGGACTAGTTAGTAAACATTTGAAATTTGACATTTTATGTTTTTAAATAGTACAAATCAGTCTATTTACAGTAAGGTAAAAATGCTGCATGGAGTATAGTAAAGCACAGTCCCAGTTTACAGTTTTCTGACAAATTGGTTCCCATAAGGTTTCTTTAGGCTGGATAGTGCAGTTGTTTGTCTATACTACTACAACTCCTCTTACACAGAACTTGGGAATTATTGGTGATTATTTTCTGAATATTTTTTCTAATGTAGTGTTGCTTCATTAATTTTTATAAATAAAATATATGGGGCTGTCTTGTTCAAGAAGTACATACTCCTTATTTGTTAATTTTATTATTTCCCGGCAAGCGGAGTGTGGCCCTCAGACTCGTAAGGATGCTTTAATTTTTCACAATCATGACTATCTCTATGCCAGCATTGTTCTCATGTTATCTGAGCACATGGACCCTATGACAAACTATCTTTTTTGTTCCCTGGATGGCAGTACTGTGTACTTTTTATCCCAAATGAAAGATGGCAAGGAAAATGAAAGCGTGGTTGGCTGGGTGGAAAATCAGTTTTGGAGAAAAAAAGGATATAAACTTTTAACTCCTTTTTTTGTCCTTTTTTTAAAAAAGTGTTTCAAGGAATTGCTGGGCTAATAAATAAACTATTAAATTAATTGTTATATTCTGTTTGTCCCAGACTTGTCTTGGTTCGTAAAACTTCACACTTTTCAAGTATCTATATATAGCAGTGTAGATATTTGAGAGTTCTTATTTGGTATTGTTTTGTGTGTGTGTTTAGTTTGGTTTTGTTTTTTTTCCAAATTTGTGTAATGTGCTCAGTTGGAAAATACACAGTAGCTGCATCTAAGTGGTTGTTAGCTGCAGACAGCGTCAACAGCTTCCTCTCCCTTAGAGGGAAAGGTTTTATGGAAAGATGAACCTTTCATTTCTTCTTTCCACTGATTTTTATCTTTCTGAGGTTGGAGGCTTTCTTCCTGCAGTGTTGATCTATGTCCTTGTACTATGTTCTGTCACTTTTGTTTACCCTTACGGTCTTTTTTTAACTCTGAATCTTTTGTCATGTCAGCCTGATCCATTGTGTTTTTTCTTCTTTCAGCCTTTTGCTATATGTCTTCAGATTTGTTAACTTTTAAAGGTTACATGGTAGACATCTATACTTGTCTGTTATTTTGCAGTCTTCCTTTTCTATTGTCACATTTATTACTGTTTTTTGACTAAACGTATTTCAAATTGTCAGCTACTTGGAAAGTAGAGCTCCTATCTAAAGGAATGGGCAGTGAGGAAGAAAGATGAAACTTGATTCTGGAGGAGCTTCAAAGCTGGGACAGACGTTTAGGGATAGCATATGGCGTGTCAGTAAAATCAATAAATCACTGTTGTAGTTTATATAGGAATGAAGCAGAGACAGATAAAGATGCATTGGTCAGAGGCACTGTAGTTAAGGGAAGACAAAAGCATAATTCTGAGTTTTAGCGTTAGGAATAAAGTTGGGAGAATAATACTAGGTTTTGTTTATACTGGATGCTCTCAGTCTGTTTTACCAGAGTGCCTAAGAGAACGTAAAAGGTGTCTGCTTTATTAGCTAGACTTCTATAGTATTTCTAGTTCCTATACTTTTACATCACCACTTAGTAAGCAGTATAAAGACCTTTCCCTACTTTAGATGCTTGTATTCAGTAGTAGAACTGTCAGAAATCTGGTACTGCTATGTAATAAGTTTTTTAACTCTAGCACTGTTGGGTACTAGCTCATTTAATATTTTACTTTTTGATGCCCTGTGACCTTAACATCTAGAATTTTGGAATCAATGTGCAAAACCTTAGCATTTTATGTGTATGTCAATGCTTTAGCTCCTTACTGCGGTAAATGGACACATGTGAAGCTGGCCTAACTGTAATTATGTATTTAAAGCAATATTTCAAAATTCTGCTCTCTGTCATACTTCAAATTTCATATAAAACTGTCAAATGCATGTAGATTTCTATTAGCTTATCTTGAGCTTTTCTTCAAAAAAATCAACAAAAGTGTGTGTGCGTTGAGAGGGAATGCTTTTTTTTTAAATACAAGGAAAGTATAAGACTACTTTTTTAATGAAAAGTCCTTGTTTTTAATGAAAAGTTGTCTTGTGTGTATTTTTATATGTACTGTATAGTTTTCATATGAGTAATAAATTATATTCTAGTTTATAATTTAAAAATTTTATAATGATTAATGATTTTAGTGCTTATTGTCTTTAAACAAACTTGCTAGCTTGGAAGCTTGTTGGTAGTATTTCTGGGTCTTGTTTTCTTCATGATGGATACTATCCATGGAGTAAGTGAAATAAAAGATGTTTCACTATATGGTTGACATCACAAAATCCTCCTTTTCTGAATCCAAATTGATGACTTCTTTTATTCTATCAAAAGCTATTCAGAAATCAGTCTTCTAAAGTTTAATGCTTGAGCGCTGGGTTGAAAAATTGCGCTGAAGTAAATCCTCTGTTAATACACTATTAGCAAGACCTTGAAATACATAATGCCAGATGTCTAGTAGCAAGGTGAGAGCAGAAGTGCTTTTTCCAGATGGTCTCTGATACCTGAAGACATAAAAATGCTGAAAAGTATTTAAAAAAAAAAAACAAACACCAAAACAACCCACTGCCAAACAACCCTAAGTTTGCTGCGTCATCATTTTATTAAAGTAAAGGTTAAGCACAAAATTCAAATTAAGAAAAGATCATAGCTCTGAAAGCTGTCAAATGTGTTAAATTTTAGCCTGGGCTTGAATTATGACACCTCTGTTTTTTTGTTGTCGTTTTGTTTTCTCCTCAGCTCTGTAGGGCTGGCAAAAGCAGCTTTAGAAGCAATTAATGGTTTCAATCTCTTTGGAAATCAGGTAATAAAAATGTTTGTTTTCTCTCCTTTTTGTTTTTTTTTTTAGCAGTAATGATTTACACTGTGAATCAGAGGATATTTAGAAATACCTAGCACTGTTAGACTCCAGCTTTAAAAATAGATAGTTTGCAAATTGATTGCTCCTGTGCCAGCTACAGAATTTGTCTGATAAAATCATTAGTGTCCTTATTATGAAGAATTTTATTTAAAAAAAAAAAAATCTGAACCAATTGCAGCTTATTCTGAAAAACGACATAATCTTTGGTTAAGCATAATATAGTATACCTCTACCTTCAAGCCTTACCTTACTTCTGTCTTCTTCATGTGGCTTTTGGTCAAGACTTTAAACAAGCTAGTTGTACATAATTCCACAGTTTTGCTGAGTTTTTTAATTTCATTATGTTGCATAGTGGTAAAATCTTTTCCCATCCTTTCACATGGCTGGGATCAATTAAGAAAGCAAGCCTTTTCTTAGATTTTTTGTCTCTGACTTGTATCCTCCTTCTATGTGGATCTTTTATTAGGTGTTACACCTAAAGGAGTCTACAGCTAAAATGAAAGAATACTCTTCCAAATTAATGGTCTAGAAAATGTGCAAATGGAAGAGATAAGTCATAGTCAAGCTACCAGTTTTGTTAATGAATGGAAGTGAAGGGTAGGAGTGCGGCTAAAAAGGAAGTTGGATAGCATCAATTGAGTGTGTGTAGAAATGGTTATAAAACTTGCTGGTGAGTTTTGTCTGTAAATTGTGTGGAAGGGAAAAATAGGTTAGTCACAAAGTGGTAAGCTCAGTACGCTGAGTACAGCTTTCCATATTGCGCTGTTTTCTTGGAATCTCTCATCCTTTTTGACTTGTAACTGATGAACCTTATTAATATGCCCAAATGTCTGTATTTCATAGAAGGGAAACATTAATTACGAATCATGTTTTATCTCTTCCTAGGGTGGAGTAACATTTGAAACTTAGTTAAAAAAAATGACATGCATTTACATGAGTAGCATATTTTTATACTTAATTTTCCTGAAGATAGGCACTATATGATCCTTTTGAACTTGAAGTACTGTTTGTATATATTTTGAGTAAAGTTTCTATATATTTTTGCTGGCTTCAAGGTAGGACTTTTCTTTCTTTCTCTTTCTGTAATACCAGTGCTCTCCTTTTGTGTTGTAAGTCAGAGGGAACTGACTTCCAGATTGTAATATTTGTCTGTTTTCAAATATTCCTCTTTAAGAAACTTGGTTAAATATACTGATTTGCCATAAAGAAGACAGTACAATAAAGAGAAGTTATAAATGGTAAAATGATAAATGGTGAATAAGGGGAATTCTTAGGTGCTCTTTGTGAGAACTAATGAAGCTAGGTCAAGTATAATGATGTTACTGAGAGACAGTCCAAATTCTGTTCCAAGTTCATTTCTGAACTGCTTGATTTATTAAAACATTCTCAGTTATTTGTGTCTCCATTTTTCTATTGGTAAACCAGAAAGTATAGAGCAAAACAGACATGTAAAACAATTATTAGCACTGTTGGACAAAAAGTTCTTCCTTATAGTTTATTCACCTAAAAACGATGGTTAAACTGAACTTTTTAGAATTATTCAGATGCCTGGGATGAAAAATATAAATTACAATTTGTTTTAAATATTAAACAACTGACACAGAAGTACAGTCTACTGGTGAAAAGGTATACCACTTACTGCTATTAAACCTTTGTCTTATGGCATAAAACAGGAGATCCTCCAGGGACTTCTGACTCTGTAGATTTAGGCATCCATTGCCATTTGTGGTGGGGTTTGGGGGGGATTTTTTTTGGTTGTTTTTTTTTTTTTTTAATCTACATATTTGTACTGGTACTGTAGTACAATGGAGTTCTGTTTAGAGTCCACTCCTCAGGAAATGTTGATGGCTGTTTGCCTATGAGTGGAGAAATATGAAAGTGTTCTTTATGCAAATACACTGTTTCCAAAAATTTTCTCTAGATTTGGTTGACTTTACATATGTTTTAAAAGCTGATGTTACACCTTAAGAACTGGGAGATAGTAAGGATCTTAAATAATGATCAGACATTTATACACACATTATCAATATTTCAGAAAAAAACATTTATCTACTGTCTTTACCTTCACAGCATTCTCAAGCAGCAGTGAATGTAGCTGCTGTTGTTTTTTTTTTAAAAAATATTTTTTTACTGAATTCTGAAATAGATTAATAAATTGTTGAATCAAAATCAGTTTAAATGCTTTGAGAGTTTATTTCCAAGATATTTAGCATAAGCAGAAACCATTTTGACCTTCAGTCTGTGGCAGAGTTTGCCTTTGTGCTTAGCTCCAGCTGTGTTCCGATAGCTTTGAGAGATCCTGCTGAGCCCCTCAAGAGAAACTTGTTTGCACCTGCAACTACACTGATGCAACCTGCATAAATCATTGCTGGGGACAACAGACTGCTCAGCCTTTCCATGCAGATTTTTCTTCTCACATAGTGGATACTGAAAGAGACTAATAAATACAACTACGTAGTATTGTAGCTCTGCTTTCACACGTTTGTGTGTTATATATCTTTGAGTATATCATGATAGGTCAGTTTTCTTGTGCATTCATAGATGCACACAGAGCAGACAAAATAAAGGTTGCTTATTGTTGATACTCGCATTGAACTCTTCCTTCCCTCCCTCCCTGTATTATAGAAAACATTAAAAATTAATATATTTCTGTAAGAAATCGTACTACCATTTGTTGTGTAACAAAGCACTGCTTCAGTGATGTTCAGATATTTTTAATGCATCCTTTGCTATACTTTCTAGGTGCCAGATAAAATAAAGAACAATTATGAACTGAAAAATGATTGGCATTTTGTTTAACCTGAATGTTACATGCTTTGATGTAAAAAGAAGTTCTTTCATGGTTTTTAAATGCTAGTAATTTTCATCTCCATCGTACCAGAAGTATTTCATTAAAAGTAGGAGTTATAAGCATAAAAATACAGTCAAGCTGTAATCTTAATATTCCCTCAGTAGAAGATTTATTCACACACTGAGAGGAGAATTTTTAATATAACAGATTAGCTATTTAGTTTATTATTTTGCTTTATATCCTATGCTTGCATAGGATACTTTTATTCCAAATGTATTGTGCATCTCTGAAACCATAGTTATAAATCTCTATAAGGTAGGTAATATGTATGATATTGGCATAAGAATTGTGAACCGTGCATTGATCGTAGCCAGATCCTCATATCATTGTATCGTCCTATGTAAAAGTAAAAAAACCCTGTAAAAGTAGGCTTGATTTTTTTTTTAATTATTTTTTTTTACATTTAGGATACAGTGTGAACTGAATGCATGTCAGTTCATGTTTTTACTTAATCACTTCAGAATCATCACTACTAAAAGTACTGCACCTTATTTTATCTTGTGGGCTTGATATCATTAACCCAAACCTCTGGTTTCAGAGTATCAGAGAGTACAGATAGCTTAGAATTTGTATCATTAATGTAAGATTTCCATTTTAGCTACAATACCTTTTAGAAAAAATTACATATCAGCAAAAAAAACACATAGGAGGATGTGTGTTTACTGGCAATGTGAGTTAATGAACTAATGAATTAAGTGCATGGTGTATGCATGGATGCACTAAAATGGGTTGCTAGTGACAAGATGAATGCCATTTCAAGTTTGACCTAGTCATAGTGTAATCAATTGTTTGTATATGAGCTACATGTCCTATATTCATTTGTGGAAAAAGTTATGCATTAAAAAAAAAATCAAGCCTTTGTAAGGTGTCCTTACTACAGAACTTTACAATCTTTAGAGAAGTGAAAAATAGTTCATTTGTAAAACAAGATGCTTGTGGTTTTATGAAGTGCAAATCAGTCTGCTTTTGAATCCCCAAAGAATCCTTTACTGAAGAACATATTTTGAAACTGCATGTTAACATATGTAGACAGATTGTGTTCAGAGTTTGTAGATGAATTTAGAGATTTGTGAATAATCAGAATCTGGATTAAGAAGAAAATAGGAGAATAACAAATCATCAAAGTAAATGTGATTATTTATGTGAATTCTTATCTCAGTTCTATTCAGTATATCTTGCTAGAATGATTAAGAGAACAGAGATTATTTTCCATGAGGACAGTGGAAAAACATGTTTTGTTTAGCCTAGCAAAGCAAAAGCTGAGTATTTGTATAATAGCTATGCATAATTAGAGTGTGAGTAAAGAGTAGAAAGAAAAAATGTCTGTTTGTAAAGCTAAATGAATGGATGCTAGTACTGGCACAAAAAGAAGGATGGTTAGCTAGTTATGTGGAAATTTAGTTGGAAAATGAAGTTTTTAATAATTAAAGCAGGTAGGTTCTGGAACAGCCTTCCTAAAAGAATAGTATACCAAAGAAACTGACTTATTTTTAGGAGAAATTTTGTGAATTTATGAGAACTTAGGTTATGGTATTTAAGACAGTAACAGAATGAATTCAATGTTGACTGTGTCTTCCAGTGGTATAGCAATACTGAGATTCATTATCAATTACAACATATATGAAGATATCCATTCATTAACAACCTGGATTGAGTTTCCAAGAAATTGCCTACTGATACCTTTAAATGCTGCTGATTCTGTTTAAACAGTGTTTCAGCTATGGGAATTTTTCTGTTTTAGGAAGTACCAAAAAGCTGACAGAGATATACTGTGAAATTACAGAATTTCACTAGGAAATGGATTTTGCTAGGAGTAGGTGTTGATGACATTGACTACACAGTAGCTGAAAAGCAGGTCACTTGTATTTGCTATAGAAGTCCTTTTCCAAAGCAGTACCTCAGGTGAATATCCAGTTATTTATATTCTAAGTGACTTCTAATGAAATATGCAACATCACTCTTTGGAACATTTCCTGCAGTCACAGGGAGGGAGAACTACTTTTTTGCTTGTCCTTAATACAGTCATTTTTTTTCAAGAATTAATGGTAGAGTTCATAGCTTGAATGAATCATACAATTCATAATCATGGGTAGATAAAACCATTAAATTTTGCTTCTATATAAATACGTTTCAAAACTCAAAATGTTTTCAACTTGATGATGAGGTACATTTTCTGATGAAAATTACGAGCTACCAGACTATTGCAACATAACCTAAATAAAATGAACTGGTTAGTTTCACCAGGATATGCTAACATTTCTTCCCTTCCCCTTAAATAAATGTGATGTTCTTTTTACAGGGCTGCTCTTGGTCTGTTATATTTGTGGATTTTGATGCCCATAACCGTAACAGACAGACTCTCTGTTCATTGCTACCTCGAGAGTCAAGGTCTCATGTAAGTAATTAAATGTAATTCATCTCAACAGAGTATGGAGAAAATAAATAGGTATGAACATAATTCATAGTTCTCTGATGACCATTGTGTTCTGCTTAATAAAGATAGGAATTTGCTGGGAAGATGTTAAGTTTTTGCTTCTTAAATGTCACTGCGGTGTAGTTGTTTCTCTGAAGTGTAATTACAATGGCATTCTTTCTTTTATGAATATTCAGGTTAAAATGGTAGTTTGTTGGTAGCTTTCTAAACAATTTTAAAATAAAATTTAAAATAATAATGTTCTGCAGTAACTTAAGTAAGATTTGCTGTCTTGGTGATTGTTTTTCTTTTGGCCTAGTTTCAACTATACATTCAGTGCCTACATTATTAAAGCACTTTATTTTAGCTTTAATTCATTGTCTAGAAAAGAAGCCTTTAAAGTTGGCTTTTTGTAAATTGCTGAATATATGGAAGATTTCTTATTATAATCCACAGTTACAAACAGTAACCTCAGTGAGTAAATGTGACATAAGTATAGAATAATTTTTTAAAAATCTGCTTCAGTAGTACCATCAAGGTAAATTTGGTTTTGAAAGTCAGTAATTTAAAATGAGTGATAATGGAGTTCTACTGCTTTTTTTTTTCATTCTGGAACATAATAGCTTTTTTGTCCATGAAACAGACTATTAATTTTCAACATTAATAGTTTACTCATTGTGTAGAAGAATTATAGCAGAGTTGTAATACTGGGTAATTAAAATAAAAGGCACTGTCAGCTGCTTTTTTATAGTCTAATGGTCTTTTAGAACTATTTTGCTGTTTATTATTTGCTGGAGACTTGAAATATTCCAACAGAAGCTAGTTTCATAAGTTACTTATGCTATAGAAACAATCTTGGTGTCCTTTTTCCTCCTTTTATGAGTTCATAACAATGATACTGGCAAAAAATTATAGTGTTTTAAATGGTTGAATACCTTACATATATCAGCAGAAAGGAATAACAAAACAGTGCATGACACAAAAAAAGTAGATTTAACCTTACAGAAACACCAGAATTAGAATTTATCCATAGTAGTGATGACCAGTTAGTAATTTTTCTTGTGTTTCTAATTCATAACATTTGCACGTGGTTCTTGAGTAAAGTTACTCATATTTTTTCCTGAAATTATCCCCTTATTACCTTATTTGTAAATCAGATAATCTTTTTTTTACAGCACCTGAAGAATACTTTTGAAAAAGCTTTTTTGAAATCATGATTTAATCATAGTTACTTTTTAGCATTGCACCTTTATAAAATGTGATGCTTTTTGAGCATGGGATACCCAAATATTTGTGTTTCCTCCAGGAGTAACCCAGAGGATATTTTTTGTTTCCAAAGACAGAAAGCTCTACAATGTGTTCACATATCCTTGCAGACTATCAACTCTAAAGTAGGTCAGATTTTGAGTCAAATGAGTTCTCTTTTAAATCATATATCTGAATATTGGGTTTGTAGTTTATCGTTACACATCTCTGGAAGTTGTATTTTGCACACTATTTTAATATATTAGTACTATTATTTTGAAAAAGATAAGGTTATATTCAAAATGTGCATTTCACTTAGTAAGTTAAACAGTCTTTGTGCATCAAGTAATTGTCAGAGATCTAATTAAATTTGTAATGTATTTCTCTCACTCCTACAGAATACAGATGCAGCTCTTTTGCCCTGTCTTAGTTATCCTGCATTTGCTTTGGATGATGAGGTTTTGTTCACTCAAACACTAGATAAAATTATGAGAAAATTGAAAGGAAAGTATGGGTTTAAGAGATTTCTGAGAGATGGATACAGAACAGCGCTGGAGGACAAAACACGACGTTATTATAAACCAGCAGAAATTAAGGTAAAGGAATATCAGGCCTATATAAGGGCAAATTTTGGTTTTCTAAAATGTTTTGCTAGTACTTAACGAACAAAACCCCACCCAAAACAAGATCCCCCCCAAAAACCCAAGAAAAAGCAAAAATGGACACCCCTGGTATTTGCAATTTGAATTGTGCAGTGATTCTGAATTGCTTGAAGTGAAGGAGATTCATTTTGTAATTTGGCATGTGCAGTTGTGAGGGATTGCTATATCAGCAAGTTAGTCGTTGATTTGTTTTGTAATGAATGTGCTTCCATTTACATTTAGGGTACAGTTGATTTCACATAACAAATAAGGAAGTTATTTATCATTTAATTTCACAGCTGACTACAGTCTGAGTGTATGGAAAACAATTTTGCTTTTGACCACAGTGTTTTTCAGTAAAGGTTATCTAAATGAAAATTTACTTTTTTTTTTTCTCCCTAATAGTTTCTCTGTGGAAAATAAAAGATAGATTATATAAATATTCTGCTTGAGAATGAGCCACAGCATATCCAAAAACACAGTTAAAGCGCCCATAGAATTAGGAAGCTGTAAGCTAAACAAAAAACTGATCTATTAAAATGTTTTTGCTTCATGTTTGTCTTTTTTAAAAAAATTTAGTGGGATATTCCAATACATTTCCTTAAACTGATGAAATGTCTGATTAATTTTTCTTCTTTTCAGCTTTTTGATGGCATTGAGTGTGAATTTCCTCTGTTTTTTATTTTCATGATAATTGATGGTAAGTATAGCTTTACATTCCAGTTCTTTAAAGGTGTTAGAGATAAGCCCTTGGAGGAAAAATACAAAATTATTTTCCTGTCCTGCCAAAATAAACCATAATTCAGTAACACTAAATACCGGGTTGAGAGTTCTGCCTCATGGGTTAAAAAACCCAAGCACTCAGCCCCCCATATTTCAGCGTTTTTAATGTGAACGGGTTTTAGAATATAACTCGATATGGGTTTTTTAAAAGCTTAAAGCTGTGACATCCAGTCCTACATTTCTTTTTAAGCCTTAAAAACTTTCACAGTATATCAGAACTCCGCAGCAGCTCATGAGAGAAAAGGAAGTAGGAAGAGAGAACACACAGACAACTGCATGTTGCAGCAGGTCTTTTCAAGTTGGATGTTCTGTGGTAATTGAAACGGAATTCAGAAGAGAAGAAAGCAAACCAGAAAAGACCTAGTTTCTCTTTGATATGCCTGTGCTTCCTGGCCACATTTTTCCACGTAGCCTGTTAGTCTGATTTAAAAAAACAAAAAAGCACAACAAAAAAAAAAAACCACTACCTAGACCTTGTCTTGAGGGTAGAAGACATACCAAAAAAGTTTACAGGATGATTTCGGGGTAGAAGCTAAAACTCACATAGAACAAAAGTATGAATAAGAAAATGAGTAAGGGTTAGAGCCATCAGAAAGACTTGTAAGTGAATGAAAATCTGGGCATCTGTTTATTTTCCCTTTAGTGTGTGGAATAGTTTTCAGATAAAGGTGGTGAGGGGCATAGAAATCTGCTGCATGTCTAGACTCCCCTGAGGCCACCCACAGATTAAAATATTTTGTTTGAAGTGTAATAAGGTTTCACGATTTTTTTTTTCTAAAGGAATGCTTGACATTTTTCAGAGTGATGCCCAAAACTGAGGAGAAAGGCACTGACATTTAATGCTGCCCACTTGCAGTTTTGGGAAGAACGAAAAAATATAATTGTCTTTTAACTGAAGTTAGGAGAAGAATAAAGAAAGCATTTTGCTCTTCTTGCATTACAAAGTAAAAAATACATATTTTGCACGTAGTGTGCTTGTCTTTTTATCTGTACCACAATTTCATCAAACAGAACAATTTTGTTAGTAGATTTTTGCACATACCTTCAAATCCACAAACTTCCTTAATGCAAAATTTCAAGTGTATACAGAGTGATTTAAACTGCAAAAAGACAATGAATGTCTTTATAATTAAAATGTTGAAGAAAAGTTCAAGATGCTGCATTATGAATAGTGGTTCAGATGAAAGCCTGTTTGCCCATCCAACACACTTGCAGAATACAAAGGAAAGCCTTTTTGACAAAGTATATTAAAATACTGAATATCTAGGTAACTCCTGATAGCTGGATTTTGTAACCTGTATAATAGTGGGATGGTGCTCTATTAAATAAGGAATGAGAGAGTCCTGTAAATCAGAGTCCATAATCCCCTGATTTTGTTCACATCAGCAAAATTTCTTTCCTAACTTCCTTTTTGAAAGATTAGCATATTCAAGTTACTATATATTTACTTATATTTTCTTATCTCCAACTAATTAGCTAATCAACTTTTCTGTTTTGTCAATGACAGCTTTTAGGATTTTTGAGATATGGAGAATTAGAACAGTTTTGGCAAGTAGACACCATGGAATTAGTTATGCATTTTCCAGTAGTATTAAGAACATGGTTTTATTCCCATTATTACCCAGTTGTTATCTTCACTAAATGATTCTTCATGTGAAAGCAATTGTATTATCACATAAATGCATCTTTTATTCTTTACAGCATCTGCTAATGAGACAAAATAGGCAGAATATCATATTGCTCTTACGTCATGACTGTGCCCAAGTGTTTTGAAATAGTTCAGTGTGTCACTTAAACACACCATTTTTTGTGTGCAGCTTTCATTGCATTTGTTTCTCTTGGCAAGTGATTTCATGTTCTATATATATACACTTGGGAATATTCAAAAATATAATGAACAACACTTGTCAAGCTTTGTTTTTGTATAGACCACTGAAGCATGGAAAGAAAGAAATTTCTATACAGCAGTCAAACTCCATCTTTCTACTGCACTCTGGCTTTTCAGTAGAATAATTTGTTGGATATTCTTAACATAAAAGATAATTAATTATTTGTGGTATAAAAAATTAATACTTGTGTAATGTGTATATTGATACATACTGAAAAAGGTCACAAAACCTAACAGAAAACATACCTAAACTTAAACATAAAAACCAATAACAAACATATCTAAACATATCATACACATAGATGCATTTGTATATATACATAAATACATAAACATACCTAACAAAAACCATATCTAACCTTTTTGTAATAAAAATGTTCTGGTATATTTGTTCTCAGTGGATGAGTTTGTGGTTTTCTTTTGTCTTATTTTTGCCTTTCAGCTATTTTTAATAACATGGAAGAATATGGTAATTGAAAAGGAAAAGCATGGAAATAACTTAGTGAAGGATGTACAGTGAAAACTTTTCATCTGACTTGTTCCTCTTTAAATTATAACAAATGTTCTATTTTAAAATGTCAGTGTGACTTGTCAAGTTCATCCACATTTTCCTTGATGAATAGAAATGCTTTTTGGTATTTTTCATATATCTTTTCATGTAAGAACTTCTGATGAACTGAACACTGGTCATGTTAATATTCTTCAGAGTCATTTTGGGATGACAAAGTTCTGCTAGAAAAACATTTAAGATACTGGTACTCCTAGTTTACCAATTTCTCCCCAAAAGCAGCATCGTAGAGTTGACTATTCTGTTTAATATCTCAAGGTGAGTCATCAGTTCTGAACATTGATAATAAAAAGATATAATAACTCTATAACTTACCAATGCAAGCATTCCATCTAATATTTGGAAGGGAATTTTTCAATTTACTTCTTCAAATTCCTTTTGTATTTATTTATTGGGATTTCTAGACAACTCACTCCAAGATCAATTCACAACTCTATACTAAAGATTTAGAACCAACCCGTTTCTCTCCACACTAGCACACAAGCTCTTTTTCTTCATTCTATAATTAATGAAGTTATTTACAGCTAGCTGGGCTACTTGTCTATGTGTCTGAGGCTCTGTAAGTTCACAGCTTTACTGTCCCATGTAACTTGCCATCGATTTCAGTTTGAGACTGACTGATTCATGACCCCTGTGAGATTTAGCTGTAGCAGTGGGAATCTGCAGTCTAGTCTTTTACTTTTCATGAATTATTTGGTGTGTAGGCACTACCCCATTGAAAAATAAACACTAGGTTTATGTTTTTTCTTCTTTTATGAACATTAATTTCATGGAAAAGTTACTTCTTCCAGTAAATGAATTATTGTTTGGTTATTTTTAGGAGTTTTTAGAGGAAATCCTGCACAGGTAAAGGAGTATCAGGATCTTCTGGATCCTTTGCTTCAGCATACATCTGAAGGTATTATCTGATAATCATTCTTCTAAAAGACTGTAGCTTTTTATTTATCTGAAATTATTAAAATACTGACATTCCTATTAATGAATATTGCAGAAGAGAAATAGTGTCACTGTATTTTCTGATGGCAAAATACTAATGATCAATGTAGATACATTGCATCATAAAGTGTGATAATAAAAGTAATGTTGTCTGCAAAAATGCTACTGATACAAATGTAAGATTTATGCTGTAACCAGTGTTTCCTACCCTTCTTCACCTATGCTTCATTATTTACAAAGTTCACTTTGACTTTGCAGTAAAATATTAAATAGCAACAGTCAGATTGTTTCAGTGTTCCACCCAGATACAGTTGAGAATTACTTTCATCATTCATTGTCACTTAACTTAAAAAAAAATTTAAAATAACTTGGTATATGCATATGAAATTTTTTGTAAAAGCACCAACAGGGTAATTTTAGTACAAACGTTCTCTAACTTAAATTGTACACTGTTAGTTTGAGTGGGAGGAAGAAAAAAATGGCCTGAGAACAGAACAACTTCAATATACTGACAATCCAGTTTTAAAACTAAGCATCTTTAGTCACCTGTTCTTGGCATCTGTGGTACAGTTACACACATAGATGCAGAATATTTTAGTCTGACTCATTCTTTAAACTTAGAATACTTGTTGAAGTTAAGTTTCTGTAAGAAATACGTTAAGTTTCTGTAAGAAAGATGAATGTTTCCTTACCAAATCTTTATTCCATAGCAAATTTTTGACCTTGCTGACCATTGCTTTTTTTCGATTATTAATGAGTTTGTGAAGTTCCATGGACACTAAATTAATCTTGTTGTTCCTTTGAGTGTCATCAAGAATGTCTCATCTTGAAATTTCTGGATGTGTTTTGATACCTGACTCACTAGAATAGTCTATCTCTAATAACTCACTTTTCAACTTTTCTCAGCTTCTTGCCAGTAATTTTTTGTGTGTGTGTAAGCAAATAGTCATCTGCAGCTTTATTCTGTTTATCACTTGCTCTTTGTCCAAAAAAATTAAAAATTAAAGCAATATTAAGGTGAAATTTAATTTTTCAGAAAACATATTAATTTGCTTTTGTATTGCATATAATTAGGTCAATCATTTGTATTCATGTTTCTAAATTCTTGACTCTTATCTGTTTAAAAAGTTTTGAAATAAAGGTTATTAATCTACAATGATCAGTAATACTTGTGGCATAATTCTAGATATAAGATATTCTGTTTTCCAGTGAAGAAGTTATGCCATTTTGTTTCATGATGTTTCAAAATTTCTTTTTGCATACTTGCAAAATTATACTTTTCATTTAATTAAATGTTTTACTGCGTTTGACCAAGATTTTAGTTTTAAAAAGTTGTCTGATACAGAACTGGTGTTAAATGAGGGGAGGGAAAAAAAACCAAGTGTTTTGCTTTAATGCAGCTTTCATTTATTTTGGTTACGGTTTGTTATCTGTACTACATTTTTCTTTAGGTGAATTTTTTTTTTTTGCACAGCAAGTTACTACACAGACAATGTATGTATGTGTTCTGTGAAGAAATTCTGTGGAAATGCTTTGTGAAAAATAGTTTTAATTTTGACATGGGTTTCCTACACTGATTGTGGTTTTGAGAAATAACAATGAATGACAACAGCCTGTTGAGTTGTTGCTAGGGTATATTTCTTTCCTGTTTTCAATTCACTTCAGCTTTATTAGAGGACTACAATTAAATATTAATAAGGGAAGTAGAATTTATTTACTTACTGTGCTTATTTTAACACTCTGTAGGATGTCCTGTTGTACCCAAGTATTACTATGTGCCAGCTGATTTTGTTGAACTGGAAAAGAAGAACCCTGGCAGTCAAAAACGGTTTCCTAGTAACAGTGGACGTGATGGAAAGTTTTTCTTGTGGGGACAGGCAGTTTACATCATTGCAAAACTCCTGGGTAAGAGGCTGAGGAAATTTTATCAGGTTTTGATTCGTTAGAAGTGAAGGATATTTTATCTTGTCAATGTTTTTGTTGAATCTGAACAAATACTTTGGCTTGAGTTTTGAATGGACTGTGGTGGCATGTGTGTCCTCTGCTTTGGTATATACATGATAGGCAAAAATTATTTTTTACATTTTATGTTAAAATTTTATGCTGCATGAAGCATACCATGGAGTTTACTAGAATATTTTATAGAATACTGAAAATCTTCTAAACATGATAGGTATCTTTTCTGCTGTTTCATTCCCTGGCTTTCCCTCGTACTTAATTTTCTTCACAACAAAATATATTAACATGACACTTTCTGCGTTAACTATATCAGCTGCACCTGTACAGTGATGTTTGTAAGTGATGTATAGCATTTCATTCAAATTATTTACTGCTTTAAACAAGACAGGTTTAAATTTTGAATAGTTGCAGTCTCAAAGTTAATGTTTTCTTCAGTCTGTGTTGTTTTTACCCTTCCTTTAAAAAAATAGAAGAGACTAGATGAGCATATGAAAGTGCATTTCAAAGTTTGGCCATTGAAGCTTGTTAGGGTCAATTTCAGTCACAAATGAACTGTTGGTCTCACTTGAGAGGATTTGAAGGCTAATGCAAAAGCAGTTGTTAAGCCAGAAAAAACTTTACAGTTAAGATTATTTTTTTTCTTAATATTTATATTGGAAGAAAGATACACTACTTTAACATGCTCAGCGTTTACTTGGTGATCAGTAGATTGAGTTCTGAAAGCTTTTTTCTGTGAACACTGTAAAGGGAAACAGGCTGTTGCTAGTAAAAATGAGAAAGATGGAAGGGGAGTTTAAAAATTCAGGACTTGGCAAGAATAGCGAATGTATCTTTAGCTGTAGAGGAACAGAGTCCGTCTGGTACTCCACCTGTTCGGTTTCACTGTATTCCTAGCATAATTCCTTTTATAGCTAACACCGTAAAGTAAATGCAGGCAATCTCACCTTTAGTGAAAAAAATTTTAATTTAACCTCTTAGTATTAAGTAATCCTCAAACGTGTGTGTTGGAATACTGTAGTAATTCTCCTGGTATTCACCTTGTACTAATATTTTTGCATTTTTATATCTGAGAAATGCTAGTTAAATAAATTGTAGTTATTGTTTGCTAAATGCTGTTTGAGTAATGTAACTTTCTTTTGGTTTATTTCAATTCTTTCCTTTGAACCTTCTTAGGTTCATTTCTATAATCATGCTAAATCTCTTTTTGAAATATTGTCATTAGGAACTGTAGTGACACTCTCCACTGTAGTGAATGCTTTTCTTTCCTCCTCTGCCCTTTTTTTACAAGTATTTTTTTTCCTTTTCTGACACAGTCTTTGCAGATAGGGTCTAGATGTTTTATCACAAAGCTAAATCTATACACCAGTGATTGTCAGATCAGGAACTCCATTTATTCATACTGATTTATTATTGGTGCATTTGATTTTGCTCCATTCTGGGTGAAAACCTGCCGGAATAACAATCTCGTCCTTGGTGAAAGTCTTTGTGTGTGTTACTTTGCTTGTTGGTGGTTGCTAATTAAGTGGAAGCCTGACTCCAAACACTTCGATTTCTGGGAAGGCACTGGTTTCCCATTTCATCATCCATTCCAGAAATTGTTGTGTTGCCTCAAGGGTAGCAATTAATTTGTATTTGCTCAGCCTCCTTGCTTCTACTGTGTAGGCGAGCATACAATATAACCTTTTCAGATTCTTCTTCTGTCTGTGGGCCTAGTGTCTGCCTGTGGAGGTCCAAATTTTTCTAAATACTGCAAAATGAAACTGAGTCAATTCTTACACATCTCGCTGCCTCCCACAGAGGGGCAAACAGAAGTAGTGAAGTCAAAATTTTGATCCTGCTTATAAAAGCTCTGAACAACAGAGGCAATGAAAGTGTCTGCCTACCGCTGTTCGAAGTCACTGCATGCTTATGCAACTGAAAAAATTGTTTCTGAAGGCACAAAAGCATGCATTTTTCAGACAGTGATGCATTTTTTTAATAGAATTTCTTGCCTGCTCTGGTTGAGGAAGTTTGTAAAGCCTTTATGATAGGCTCCCCATTTTTGAGCAAAGGGAGTGCCAGGTATTCAGCTCTTTATGCAACTCAAAATTCACTCAGTTTAGTCTTTCAGTTAGTAGCTCTCTTATCTTTCCTGTGCTTTTCCATATAATTTTTATATCTTGTTCTGTGGATTCAGTGCTGCCTGGAACTAAGTTTATAAGTTTTTTAGCAATATTTTTTTGGAGTATAGACCAGATGGAATAAAAGTTGTCAGCTGTTACTGGTGTAAATAATGAGCTAACAAAGAAAACTCTGCTTTTGCATTCTGATATGCTTGTGTTTGTGGTAATGGTGATGAATATTCACCGAGATTCTTCTTTCAAATAAAATTGTAAATATTGAAATTTAGCTCAATTTTTTTATTAGCCTATTGGTACAGTTGTTTTAAATATGGAATTATTCTGACTATGTATCTTAATTTCTGAGCAGTATAAATCAATGTAAAGAAACAGAGGAAATGGAACACCTGTTCTGGAAACTGCTCTTGCTTTTAAGAACTAGGAGGCAGTCTGTTAATCTTGCACTCACTTGGTTTATCAATTTTATAGCATCGGCAGCCCTACAAATAATTTAAGTAACTTACATGCCTTTAGCCAATATAAGAAGTCCGACTGTGTGGACTGGAGGGTAGATGCAGATGACCATTTTCCTTAAAATGTGTTTTGGTAACACATGTGTCAGTATATTAATAAACTGTCCAATGTAATTTTTTAATCTAGCTTTGTTGCATTTTTTGAGAGGAGGTATGTTGGTTTGGTTTGATTTTTGGTGTTTTGTTTTGTTTTTAACATAACCACCTGTACATAGATTGTGACTCTGAAGGAGTAGTGCAGAGCAGAGGAACAGGATCCTTTCCTGGCAGGAGTAAAGCTGCATTCTCTCAACAGAAGGCTGAGGACAGGAGATGGTCCCGGTATCTGGTGGCTGATGGTCACTGGCAGAGCTCCCAGCAGCAGCAGGCTCCTTCGTGCCTTACTCGGTGAACTGCCCAGCCAGTGTCCTTCACTGTCTGCCCATGCGTTTTCTTTGCACTGCACTGTCTATTCTGCTCTTCCTAACACTGTTAAGCTTGATCCAGGACATATTTTGAGTTTATAACGTGCTGTCTTAATTTACTACACAGTGTAGAATTCAGAAGCATTTTTCTTCTCAAGACATTGTTGGTTTTTTGTTGTAGCTGAATTAAGCTAGTGGAGTCATGAGTTATTTCTCTTTCAGATTAACAGCTGATTCCTGGTGATTTCCTTTTTAAGAATATGTGCAAAATTGTTTATTTATATATGAGAAATGAAAATGCACTGTGACCTCCTCTGTAGCAGACACAAAGATTGGACAGTTTCATGTCAAAATGAGATTTTGATAGAATGCTTATTTGAAGGGCATAATAGCTCATAGTACATTGTGAACCTATATTCAAGGCATTTGTTGAAACTTTAATAGTATACTTTTATTGGAGTACTTTTTCTTTTTTTCATGGGAAGGTTAAAATAATGGAATTTTAGGTTTGGAGGTTTTTTCCCCATGTAAAAAATTTCACATAGAAATTGCTAGGTTTCAAATATACCTAATTGAGGTAGTTTACAGTTTCTTCTCGAGGTATCATATTGAGAGATAACTTTGATATCCCTTGTCCCTTTCAGGATTATAGTTGTGTGATTACCTTGAAATGGAGGCTGTCTGCTTTTCTTTAAAGCTAAACAGTTTTTGCTGGTAACCATTGAGTTCCTAGTTAAAGTTCCAGAGTAATTCCATGGTTGTGGATTGAGGGCTTTTCATGTGACTTGTGGAGTCTGTTGACTGCATATATTCTTTTTAATATATGCAGCATCTCTGTGAAAAAATGAAGGATTGTTCTCATATACTACAGTATTATAATTAGCTGTAGCAAGAATGATGCTTGAGTCATTAGTTTTAAAATTAATATAATTTTGCAGAATGTCCTTTTGATCTGTAAATAATTGATCTAAAACAAAGATCATAGCAGCAGAACCAACTACATAAAATACATTTGCGTGTCTCCATCATAAAAGCTGCAGAAAGTATTGAAGTCATTCTGTATTTTTATTGTTGTTTACTTTCAGCTGACAAATTAGTAAGTCCTAAAGATATCGACCCTGTTGGACGTTATATACCTCCACAAGATCAGAGGAATGTTAGCATGAGATTTTCAAATCAGGTAAGCATAAGCTTACTATTAAAATATTTCTACTAAAATATTGTCATCTCTGTGTTCTATACCATCTTCTAATATTACAATTAAAGTGCTAGGAAAAGATTAAATATATGTACATTTTCTTAGCTGATTGAGGATTCCTTTTAGAGGAGTATTATAACATCTGTAGTTTTGGGGAAGTGATGCATGTTTGCCTTCAAATTAAGTGGTGCAATCAAACTGATACATAAAATGTAAGTTTAAATAGCTGCTAATAGGTGTGTTTCTTTGAGTTATATGTCAGGAAGGCAAGAGGAAGCCTGCTTTTTTTTTACTCCTTCATATTAATTACCACTTCCATTTATCAATGTTTTTTGTATTTAGAGCTCCTAAGACCTACAAGGGTGAGGTTCTTTTTTTGTGTGTGGTATATCCATGTGTTCCTGTATTTGGTTTAAATGCACAGCAGGAATGAGTGCCCAGGGGTGGGGAGTGCTTGAAACATTATAATCCAAATCCCAAGTAGATAGGATAACAAGACAGAAACATGGCCTGTATGTAGGGGACTTCTTTAAAGAGGTAAGAACTGTTGTTATGGAAATGTGTAGCTAAGAGATGTTTTTCAACCTTTTCATTTCTTGGTATAAGGAACATATATTTGAAAAGGCCCTTGTTCAGCATGGTGAATTTGTTATTGAAGCCTAAACTGTGAAGCATTTATCTTAAGATTTATTCCAAGATCAGAAGTGAACAATGTTTTTCTTGTTGTATCCAAATGGTGCTTAAAACCTCTGTTTCCTACTATTTCCTGTTACCAAGGTAATCCAGGTGCCTGGGTGTTGTCTCATTCATAGTGAGATTTTCATTGTTCATAGTGCAGCACTTCTGCCATGCTAATACGAGATAACGAAAGCTCAGTGATTTCATTTGTTCCCAGTTTCTTTCTTTGTTCTTACATCATGGGATTATGAATGCTTCAGAAATTGTGAGCTGCCAATACCACATGTCCATTTAGGAGTGCCATTAGAAGAAGCCTATATCAAATCAGTGTTGTGTGCAGCCCATCAAACTTTTTTTTTTCTTTGATTCTTGAAACCAATAACTTTTACTATGCCACAGCACAGATGAACACTTTGAAGAATTCAAAAGATTGTGCATGCCTTTGTTTGATACGCAAAGATAAAACTATCCGAGTTACTGCATGTGCTTCTTAATGTGGGTTAGAAAAAGGAGAGGCACTTCTGAATTAGTGGAAATTCTAGATGGCTCTGGCATCAGGCACCTGATGAAGCCTCTGAGCAGCAGTGTAGAAATTGTGGCCAGAATGGTTATTGTCCCTGCAGTGCTAACCAGGTGGTTGTGGAATTTCATTGGGATTGTTTGTGTTGTAACAGGTGCTGTTGTACTTTGTGAGGTTTTACTCTTAAATTAGTATCAGGGCAGAATCTTTGTTGATACAGATGTTAGTTCAAATCGGTCATCATTAGGAGAATCATTAAAAAATGAAAGGCAGATGCATAGATGTTATCAAAGTGAGTGAGGTATGCTTTATCAGCAAAGGTCTTTGCAGTTCAAGTCAGCAAACTTCTAAGTTCCAGCTGAGAGTCCTGACCTTGACTTTTTTAAATCCACATTTTATATTTGCTTAAAGAGTTTGTCGGAATATTTGATTATGCCATTTTATCCAATTGAGCTAATTTTATGCAAAATCAGTATTTAGTATTTGCCTTAAAGTGCTAGAAAAATGACTAAAAATAAAAGACAGAATGAGAACACGATGCATCTGAATTATGTCTTCAGAAATAAAAAGCATTTTCTTCTTTTTAATCATGTTTTCTCTTTTCAATATAGCTAAAGAACGACTGAATTAAATTGAACAGAATAAGTGAGGATATGTAAAGATTTCAAATGCCTGAGTGTGTAAATTTTGTTGAAGTACAGTGTTTTGGAAGGTGATGGACCAAAAAGAATGCTTTTTTCATTTTATTTGAAGCCTTGTGCTGAGGAAGTATTTCTTAGAGAAATACACTTCCCGTGTAGGTGTATTTTCGTATCTTGATTGCATTGACTATAATCTCTATAGACACTTGCCACTGAAAAATGTGATTAATTTAGTTTCTTTGTGGCTTTGGTGCCACTACAAAAATATGTCTGAGGCCCACATTGTTGTGTAGATTTAAGCAAGCAATGAAAGCTGTTTAAAGTATTCCAACCTTAGTTCTATGAAGAATATTCTAGAATTAGTTAACGTAAGGTAATACAGACCTACAAAGGCAAAATTTCTATGAAAACTGTTTATGTGAAACTATATATAACTATATATAACTGTAGCTGTGAATGCATCACTCCACTTAGAAAATCTGATAAAAGAGGATGATCTCATTTGTTGTAGAAAACTGTGGAATCAATAAGCAATACAGTAAAAACTTAATGGCCACTAATATTAAAATATCAATTTCATCTGTTTATAGTTAAAAGGAAATGTGTTCTCTCCCAATTTAATGGTCAAAACCCCCTTAATTTTCATTTCAGGAGAAGATGTCCATATGTTCCCTCCTGGGGAAATGCCAGTGTGGCACTGGAGCAGGATGCTCTTTGCTAATTTCAGTCTGTGTGTTCCAAAACACAATGAAGTCTAACAGCAATCAGAAAGATTCTCTTTTGCACTAATAATCTGCTTTCTAATGCTAAATGGTTGGTAGTGTTTCAGGTTAAATCCCATTCATGAGTTAAAAAGAAAATGGAATCATCAATGCTCCATTCACTTTATTGAAAGAAGATAATGCAGGGCATTTTGTTTCAGTGGGAATAACTCTTTAGAACTGAATTCCTTAGAAGAGCTTATTTTATTATTCCTTTATACTGTCTCCATATCCAGGAGACATTATATTGTAACACAGTTTTGGTTGTTGCATTCTGTTTTGGGAGAATTTCCTGTGTAAGAGGACCTGTATATAATAATTGAAAAATGAAGTGGGGTGGGGATTTTTTAATTTTGTTTTGCATTTTACTGGAGAATGTGAAAGGTGATTGATTGCTATCTTGTATTTAACAAAAAAAAATATTATCTAACTAAATTGTCAAACTAAGACTAATTTATCTTCTGGGTTAACTTGAAATATATGTTAAATTCTTATTTATATAATTCTTATATTATTTGCATGTGATGACTGTATTCTTTTACTGGTTTGCTTTGTAGACTAAGAAATTGTTTGTGAGGACTTCATTTAAGTTACTGAAAATTAAGGTTAATGCCCATCGATCATGTTGGGATGAGAATAGTCAGAATGATAGACTGCTTATTTTTTTATTTTCAGGGAAGTGGATAATGTGTAAAGAAGAACTAAGTGTAGGGAGACTGAGATATATTAAGATTTTTCAGGTACCTAATTTATTTTTATCAGTTAGAACATGTTTAATTTTGGTTTAGAGAGATGTATCATATTGGATGATTTGTTTTGTAATGTTAATTATAAGCATATTCTTGCTTTAATTTCTCTTAATACAACTGTTTGCCATAGTTAACACAATTCTAAAATGGTTGAGTATTATTTTAGCATCTAAGGCAGGTGTGTGTCCATACTGTCTTTTATTTTAAAAGTCTGGAGTCTTAATAGCATTGACCATAAAAGGTTTAGCATTAGAAGTTTCCAGAAGCAGATGTATTTTGTAACAATTCAGTTGTAGTTTTATAGCAGCAAAATGGATTATTCAGGTTAAGTACAATTTCTTCTGCTGCATGATATTTCTGTTTTCCTCAGCTCACTCCATATGCTTGGAAAGCCCAGTAGGTACCATTTTAATTGGTGTTCTTGAATATTGTGCCCACTTTCTCACATTTTCAAAATGAATGGATTTTTTTCAGAGTTCTGAGATTTCCTGGGAATGTGTGCAGAAAGGCATATAGTGGTAGCATCTGTCCAGTGAGAGTGCAGCAAAAGACTAATACTGAGCTGCTTTCTCTGCTTGTGCCAGGAATGGAGTCAGGGTTTTTTTCCCTTTATTCTGCCTCCAGCGGTTTCTAACCTTGTTAAAAACTATGATTTTAAAAAAACTTTACTTTTTTTGAGAGGAGGAACAACTAATCTGTTTTTTATCTGGTCTTCTGAAAACACTGGGGTATAGTTACCATTTGCATAGCATGCAGAATATAGTTTAAACAGATACTTCCACTATCCAATGTGAAAATGCCAGGCAGAAGGGTGACCGGGGGGGGG